AGTTCTTACTGTGTAAAACCAAGAGGAACAACTAAATGGTTTCTAGGCTTCAGAACTGGAGCCACAATTTTAGGAATGGGTATCATCAGCCAGTGGCATTATCACAATAAAACTTTAGAAGTAGTGCTCGGGTTTCCAGTCAACCAAATTATCAGGAGGAACCTCCCATATCTTTAACTTGAATAAGTTAAAGATATGGGAAGCTCCTCCTGATATGGCTTTATAAAGAAGAATCATCTACCAGACTAACATATCCAACCCTAAAATTACACAACAGCAGCCCACCTTTGTTTCAGCCCATCTTCAAGGGCTATAAAATAAAATTGCTCATCCCTTAGCTGAGAGGTTGAACCAGGGACTGTAGGAAATGACCAGGTTGAGTCAAACTTATCATCAGCCATGACTCCCTTCGCACCCACAGGAGATTTAAGTCCAGTCCACCTTGAATTCCGTTGACTCTTATCTCCCGCTAATTTCTCTTGCCTGTTAGTTGTTCAGATTCTTGTAGAGAGCTTAAGTTTGCAATAAATCTTTATACCCATGGGAAATATATAGATCTCCTGATTGTCCTGGTGCTTGACAGGGTCATCGGAACAGGGGTGTCCAAATCTCCAAAGTCCTGGGTGAAGTCCTACCCTTTCTGCAGATGTTTCAACAATGCACCTGCAAAAGGAATGGGACTTTAAATGGGATGCCGGGCCCACCATCGTGCAAAATTGGGCAACCCTGGGTTGTACAAAATACAGTCAAAGAGACCGCACAGAGAGAGATGTTTTTCTCAACTTATTCTGACTTTTGAAGCCAAGGCAGGATAGGGAGTTTCTCTCACTGTAAATGTAGCCGCTCAAGTCAAAGATCTCCCCATTTTGTAAAAATTGGACTGGGAAAATTATCTACAGTCCTTGGTGTTTGATGTTGCTATTTTAATCAGCAGAATGCCATAGATTATGTTACATATGTAGATCTGTCAACGAGGACTAAATGTTTCAGGATTTATTTAGAAGCACAAACTGTTCACAACTAGGATTTTTGTCTATTGAAGCGCTATTTGGGGGGGGGGGCTTTTTTTTTTTTTTTTGCATATCCACTTAATAAATAAATAAATAAGGAAGTATGAAGACCAAGAAACTCTGTTGCTCTCTTGGTCCTTTGGTGTTCCAAGGCCAGCCCTACTCTTGGGAAGAGCAAAATTACCTTCTCAGACAGCAGATATTTGCTCTTAAGGAATCCTCATAAATTCATAATTATTATTTTCTTTGTCTCAGATATAATTTGATGGACCAGCAGCAAGGATAATTGATCTGATGACTGGTGAATTTGACACTTTCTGACCCGGGTTTTTCTTTAATGCTCGTGTCTTTTGAACTTTGCGATTGGTTTTATGGGACATCCTGTTGGCATGATAAATTATGTCCATATTTTATTCCGCTTTGGCGAGCTCATTTCCTGTGCGGCTTCCCACTCTGGATTTCCTTTTGTACTGAAGCTTTATTCCTTTGGGAAGCTGGCTTTGCTTCCAATTTTTTGACATCAGCGAGTGAGCTTGAAAGCTAGGGATGAGTCAGTGGAGTTTGAAATTTGAACCAGCCAGCTGCAGCAACTTTTACCATACTTCATCTAGTCTGGTCCAAAGACATTGCAAGGGAGATGTGAACATCTGTTTTGACACCCAAGGTGTCCTGCTGCCCTGCAGATGTTCTTCAGCAGTATCACGTTTGAGGATGAGGACTCTTGCCATTCTTCATGTGGAGTTTGCCAAGTGGAGAAAAAGGGAGTTGGGAGTTGAGACAGGAAATGCCCCCACATCCATCATGAACAGACAAGAGCGAGCCTGACTCACTGAAAGCCACAATTAGCAATTTGCAAAGAAATTATCCCACTGTGAAAAAGTCCTGTCTTGGCCATGGTGACTCACCCTGAAGCTGCACAAAAGATGACGGTTATGACTAAATTCATTTTATTTAGGAATGTGTCAGTTTCTCTGTCCACGAGAATGTTGTCTGCATTTTCTCAGGATTCACAAAGCAGCCAACATGGCTATTCAAAAAAATATGGTACAATCATATGCTGATGACACACACGAACACAATTATCTGGGAATAGACAGCTTGTGGCTATCATAGATACTCTCTCACATGTTTCCCTACATCTAACGAGGCTGAGAAGAAGAAAGGATGTTTGATAAGAAAGGTATATAGAATATCTGTGCTCAGTAGCATTAGACATATCTACCTTTCAAAGAAGAGCAAGGAATTAATGGAAGAAAACTTAGTAATAGTAATAAAGTTGAAAGGGACCTTGGAGGTCATCAAGTCCAACCCTGTCAGGCAGGAAAACTTACACCATTTCAGACAAACGGCTGTCCAGTCTTTTCTTAAAAATTTCCAGTGTTGGAGCATTCACCGCTTCTGGAGGCAGGTTGTTCCACTGGTTAATTGTTCTACCTGTCAGGAAGTTTCTCCTTAGTTCTAGGTTGCTTCTCTCCTTGATTAGTTTCCATCCGTTGCTTCTTGTCCTGCCTTCAGGCGCTTTGGAGAATAGCTTGACTGCCTCTTCTTTGGGGCAGCCCCTGAGATATTGGAAGACTGCTATCATGTCCCCCCTCGTCTTTGTTAAACTAGACATACCCAATTCCATAATTCCATACTTCATTCATCTTCAACTGTGAATGACTACCCTCTGAGAGATGGATCACGTGGGAAGAAGTATCTGAGGTGGGGAAGAGCCTTCATCCAAGTCATAAAGAATCCCATTGCAATAAGTGCTTGTTTAGAAAAGTGTGGAGTCCTTGGTCTTCCCTGAGCTCAATTGTTTGTTTGCTCCCCAGTAGCCAACACCCAGATAAGCAGGGATTAACACTAGACAAACAATCAAGAAGAAACCCCCATCCCCACCAAAACCGCAGGGCAAGCTGCTGTGTATAGTCAGGGAGCAAAGTCCACACTCATTAGTGTTTGTATCAGTGAGGTTACATAGTTGAGTAATGAAACATCTGCAAGCAAACAACCAAGCTCAGAAAACATCAAGAACTCCACAGTTCAGCCATGAGCTACAGATATTCTCTTCTGTTAGGAGTGCTCAGTTTTGGAGAAATTGATTTCCATATGGCAACACAAAGGGAAGAAAATCTGGTGTCCTGTAGACATTTAGAATTTCAGCTGTTAAGCATCAGCACAAAAAAAACCCCTCCATGTCACATTGCGATTATGTCACATGTGGGTCTTTGGTTCACAACTGGATTGGTTCCTTAAATTTATGTTCTCTAGTATTTTTTAAAGAAAAGTGATTTGGGAGGAGAAATAACACAACGTTCTCCGCAAAGTCATCCAATTCTTTTTTTTTTGGTGGCCAGTGGAACATCTGCGGGCAGTGAATGCCACCATTTAATTCTGCATTGTAAGGTGCCCAGAATCACCATTAGTTGGGCGGTTGGGCGGTGTTGAATAAATAAAAGTAAATAAATTTTATCAAGAAGTCCTTCTTCCATCATCCCACCTTTAGCTTCCTATGTTATGCATCTTTTCACAGAATCCATCCTGCCCCTCCATCCATTCTCACCGAGTTGTGGACCACTAAAAGCTGAAGAGCACCAAGCTCTTGACTCGTGAGCCTTCCTAGCAGAGATGGCAATTTTGAAATTGCTGCAAGGTAATAATAACTGTTTTGGGAACCACCCAGTTCGTTTTAGAGTAACAACAGGCAGAGGAATGAATCCCAGAGGGGAGAAAAGAAAGAACATAGAGACTGGATGGGTGGGATAGAACGAAGGTCCATTAGTATCCCAGCCAGATAAAGACCACAGAGATAAGGCAACCTGTCCGGGCCCCTTTTTTAAAATACTGAGAATCAAAGCAAATATTCCTGGAATGGGGTGCTTGGAAGAAATCTATTCCCTCCTGATAAGTCAGAAAAGGTCATCTTGATTTTTCAGCAGTAAATAGGCTGATGGGTGGTTGAAAAGAAGCACCCAGTGTGTGTCAGGCTGAGCCAATGATGAGTAAACAAGGAATGAAAGAAGAACAAAACGGGTGGAGATTAGATGGATCTGTTGCCTCCCAGCAAAGTTTGTTAAGATCTGGTGTGTCTGTGCATTTTCAAAGCCAGAAACGCCAGGGTAATGCCAATTGATCTTCATTGTGTTGTTTTGTAAAATTCAACAACTTAAAGGAAGAAAAACAACCACAGGCCCCTGGAAGATACTGGGATTAGGGGCATGTGAAGTGGTGGTCAAAATCTGCAAGATGACAGCCATGGAATCCCAAGAGAAGTCTCCCACCCCCTTTTTGTAGAACCCCAACTGGAAGTCTTTTCAAGAAAGATGGCCTTCCTACAGCATTTGAGTGTGGCAAAGCTTGGATTGCCACACAGAGCAATCTGTCCAGAGTTTGCTTCTGGACACTCCTGAACACATCCTGGGTATCCAGAATGGTTCAAAACGCCTCAAATGACAAATTGTTGTTCTACATGCCTTGAGAACCAGAAGAGAGAGGGAACCCCAGAATTCGACACTATTCATCCTGGAATGGTGTGCCAATATAGCAGTTTGGTCTAGGAGGGTAAAGCACCAGACTAGGAAGTGGGAAATTGTGAGTTCTAATCCCATTTTAGGCATGAAAACCAGCGGGGTGATTTTGAACTAATCACCAGGAGACAGTGAGGACAAGTCCCGCCTTAGGCATGAAATCCAGTTGGGTGACTTTGAGTCAATTACTCACTCTCAGCCTAACCCACCTCACAGGATTGTTGTTGTGGGGTAACTAGGAGGAGAAAGGAGTTCACCACCTTGAGGTATTTATAAAAATAATAAAGGTGGGATAAAAAAAATAATCTTTTGTTGTTGTTAATTGCGAAGTCGTGTCCGACCCATCGCGACCTCATGGACAACGTTCCTCCAGGTCTTCCTGTCCTCTACCATCTTCTGGAGTCCATTTAAGTTCACACCTACTGCTTCAGTGACTCCATCCAGCCATTTCATTCTCTGTCGTCCCATTCTTCTATTGCTCTCAATCTTTCCCAGCATTAGGCCCTTCTCCAGTGAGTCCTTCCTTCTCATTAGGTGGCCAAAGTATTTGAGTTTCATTCCTGTCATGCAGCTGGCGCCTTCTGAAATCTTCTCGCCCCCCCCCATGCTTTGGATTACACTCCCCATTATCCCCAAGCTACCACAGTAGCTATAACGAGAGTTACGATCCCACAACCCCTCACAAATGGCCAGGTGGGTCTGTCCGAACTTTTGAAAGTCACTTTTAACGCACAGATCCTTTTTCTTCCCGACACTGCTCTCTTCACCAAACCACAGTGATGCAAAAAGCAATCATGATAACAACAACAAAAAACACATACATGTTTCCTCTTGTTCCCTTGTAGATTTTAATTGTCCAGGTGGGGCGTATTTTCCAATGGACTCTTGTGTAAATAGCTTGATGTGTCACGTTTTGTGTTGTTTTTAAGAGATGGGGGGGGAGACAAATAGGAAAAAGAAAAGAATGCAATACAGTAGGCTTGTTTCACACCGCCCGGCCGTGTGACCTTTATGCATGAAACACCTTCATTGTTGTTTTACATTATGGTGGGGGGGGGGAGATAGGAGGACTCTCTCGGTCCCAAACAGGCCCTGGAATTTTATCTCTGTTTGGAAATCACCAAACATTGATTGTTAGCAAAGTGTAGCCCCAGGAGAAGCAGCTGGAGGGGGGGAGGGTGAAATGAAAAAATCCTATTGATGGAGGAGAGAGGTGGGGTGAGTTAATTAACCTAAGAGGAAAGTTTGCAACCGGTTGTAGGTGGTAAGGGTGTTTGGCTGGGCTCTGCTTTTGCCAGCAGGGTAGATTTTCTCCTGGCCTGGCCTGGCCACCTTCTCTAATCTTGCTCAGCTGAGCTGGGATTGAATCACCTGACACCCAGTCTGTGCAAATAGCGTAAGTAAGTTGCGCCATTGAGTTGTGACAAGGTGAACCAAATTTTATTTCTGTACTAGGTCAGTGCCCCGAAAGGTCACAGTGTTACCAGAGGGTAAACACCCTTACTGATTTGCAAGAAGCAAATTCCAAGCCCCCAAGGGGTTGTTGCATTAACAATTGACCAACTAAACCATCGGATTTCAAGAGAGTTCGTAGTGTTAAATGGTTTTTCCAGTCATAAACCTTCGCTGCAGGTGCTCGTCCTTTAAGCCGTAAAAAAAAAAAAAAAGGAAAGCCACATCGGGCTGAAACTGGGCAAACTCTGCCCACGTTTTTGAAAATTTAGAGGAGGAAGAAAGGTTAATTATTTTCAGACATGAAAAAGCTGGTTTGACCCCCGTCTGACCACAAGGAAGGATCTTGCTAAGCACGCAGATTGCTCTTAGTAACGTACAGGGCTTTGTAAAATGAATTAAATACTGTAAGATTGTGTTGGTCTGTTGTTGTTGTTTTTTAAAGCAGGAGATGAGTACAAAGATTAAGGCCTTAAACTGGGATTGAAAACAAAGAGATATTGTGAGATAAAGTGGGGGGGTGGTGGTGGAGAGAAACTCCCAGACAGCACCTGGAAAAAAAACCAAGTTCTGAATGGAATACCTAAATAAATAATAATGCAGAGGGATTCAGTGCACCCACCATACATCGGTGAGGGATACATAATTGCTAAAGATATACAAATCCTTAAAAAAGAGATGTTATGTGTTAATTTAAAAAAAAAAAAACCTATGTATCCAATTTCCTGCAGTTATTTTTATTGTGCTATTGAAAAACAAAACAAAACTAAACACACACACACAAAAGGAAAATGCATCTAAATGCAAACAAGAGCCCAGAAACAGAAAAAGAAAACCCAATTAAAAAAAATCCATCTGGAAATTGGTTGTTTCCAATTTGGGAAAGATTCCATTTCTTCTGGGGAAGACTCAGCATTTTGGACAATTTAGGAAATTTTGTCGTCGTCATTAGTTTTCCCAATCTGGAGTTCTCCTTGTGCAGGGGTAGGCAACCTTGGCTCTTTCATGACTCGTGGACCTCAACTCCCAGAATTCCTGAGCTAGCTATGCTGAGGGGAAAGGGAGAGGTTTCCAAGCTGAGCCATGCTGGCTCAGGAATTCTGGGAGTTGAAGTCCATGAGTCATAAAAAAAGAGCCAAGGTTGTCTACCCCTGTCTTAGTGGAACACTTATAATTCTACACATAAGCAGCATAAACCTGGTGAGGTTTAGCCGTCCCAGTTGGTGAGTGGTGAGGGATAGCTACTCCCAGGACGTTGGCCCTCCTGTTTGGGAAGGATGGACAATGCAGAGGACATCTGACTGGGCAAGGCTGGAGTCTCCAAAATATGGACAATGGCTGGCAAGTTGCACACACAGGAAAAGCCTTTAATACACACAGCAACTTTATTTGAAATAATCTTTAACTCAGCTGACGTCAGAGAGATAGTACATATTGACTTTGGATGTTTGGCTAACAGCTGCTTAGCAACCGTGGCCCGGGTGGAGAGTCTAACAAGGGCCGAGAAGCATTCAATGATCTGGTGGCTAGTTCTTCAGAAAGTGAATGTTTCCTCAAGAACAAAAAACAAGGAAGCAGAAAATACTCTTTTCTCCACCAGAGACTCTTGGGGCACGTCCAAGGGCAGGCAGTTTTTAACCGCGATGCCAAATCCGCCAAAACTATGGTCGTAATACCAATTTTGTGCTTAGCATAATGTGCCAAAATCAAAAGGATGCTGTTTGGTACGGGACACTCCTTGTCAAGAGTGAACATTTGGCAGCTATTGTGAGACTGGACAGCCATTTGTCTGAAATGGTATAGGATCTCCTGCTTGAGTTGGGCTAGATGACCTCCCAGATCCTTTCCAACTCTGGGGTTCTATGCTCTGACGTTCTAAATTTGGAGTCCAACCTGAAGGATGCCAGATCAGGCAAGCCTGAACCTTAGTTCATCCCTGCAACTTTCAGATAACTCACTTAGCTTTGGTTCACTTAACTATGGTTTGTGCATTGAGCCCAACTGACCTGGATTCACCCAACACAAAGCTATAAATCATGGCTGACCATTCACAGGACTGGCTTGAAAGAACCTGCTATGACAAACTAAGATTGTATTGGTTGTCTTCACACATCACACTAACCCATGACTCCGTTGGTTTGCTTCTGTCATGACTCCGTTGGTTTGCTTCTGTCTAGAATTGAGCCCAGCCCCATGGTTGGCCAACCATGGTTTAGCATATTCTCTGAACCCTCTGCATTGTGGTTCAATAAGCCATATTTGTATAGACTATTTTTTTTCTTAACAAATACTGCCTGGATGGCAATGGATTCTGAGAACTTAAATCTGTTTGGCCTCAGAAAACTTGCCCAGGTGATGAGTTTTGAGTGAAATTGGATCAGGGCATGACCTGGCCTTCCCTTTGCTCCATTCCCCACGTGGTTCAGTGCCAACAATTCCTGGCTGAATATAGCAAGCGATTCCAAAGCAATTATAATTCCCATTCAAATTGCAAAGACAGGTTTTACCTTACCTGACCTGCCAACACCTTTAACGTACTTTCATGCACCTTCCCATTTTCACTGCAGAGGAGCACCTTCTACCAGAAGATTTGGGCTTCTACAGCTGAGAAGCAGGCAGAGGTCCAATAGATGTCACATTCCAAGCATCCTATGCCAGGAGGACAACGGCCGTGTTTGAACTTTGGCTGGATGTGTAGCTACTGAAACATCTGCCTTGCAGCTGGGTTTGGGAGCTGGCTCCATGCTCAGAGCAGGATTCTGAAGCTTCTCCTACCCCTAAATTTGATCATCCAGTGTAGGACCATCCATGGCATGAGGTGGGGAGGAAAACAGGTCAAGAAGACAGCCACAGTTGAATTTGTGTGTGTGTGTGTTCTGCATATAAAAAAAGATTTCAATCAGATCATGATGGCTGCCATCTTGACTATTTCCACGTAAATCTACACAAGGGGTCTATGCATCTGTCGGTAGGAGGTACATTTTATGGGCTATTCAAGCAGCTGTTGGAAAGTCATTTAAGTGGCTTGCTAACAGGAGCAAAATAACCCATGACCCTGGCAAATCTATTAATTCATGCAGGCCTGCCACCTAAGGAAGGAAAGAAGATTCAGACGGACAGATTACCCTTAGTGTGTGAGATATGAATGTTGAGTTTACACACAGAATGAAGCCAGGGTTTGCTCTTGATGGGTTGAATAAAGGATCTTTGGTTGAGTTCACATAAGGTGCCAAGTCATAAATCACAACTTTCAAACCACAGTGGCATCACGCTACCCCAAAGCCAAATAGCACCGGGGGGGGGGGGTAGAAGTCAAGGCGTGACTCCGGTTATGGACTGTTCTCAAGACACAAAGTCCTTGCTTCATTGCTGTTTTTCAATGTGCTCTGAGTCCTCCAGCTCTGTAGCAGGCTTGGCTGACAGTCTTGGGGAAGCAGCTCACATTCCAGCCTGTGCCAGCCAGCCCTGTGTAGCAACTTGCAAACTCAGCTCAACTGACAAGTGTCGGTAGGTGATGCTGGCCAGGGAGGTGAACAGAATACAGAATTAAGGCACATTGCAGTTCCTGATTCTCTGCAAGGCAAAATGATCCACCGAAAGGCCCTGGAAACAGTACACAAGGATTCCCCCTCCCACTCCAAGACCTGTTTTTTCCCCGCCTGGTATATAAAACTAATATCACAATGTCTGGATGAAAGGGCCATAATCCACTGATAAGAACTTGCAACAAGCCTTGTGATAAATATTTACAATGTCTTTCTCCTCCCCCCCCCCCTTCAAAGATGCTATCATGTTCAGGATTCCAACCAACTCGTTCCACCATGGATTGCCTCTTGCTCTGCCTTTCACCTAGATTTCTACTTTCCCTTTCAAGCTCCTTTCTCCATAGCTTCGTGAAAGTGGGGGAATTAAGGGACCAATCCTTGCCTGCTTGCAAGGCAAGCTGCTACAGAACTGTTTCTGGACCTTGTTCTCTTTTCATCCCAACTCCCGCGGCCGCTTGAATTCCCAGGCAGACATTGATATTCTGCCTCTAGTTGATCCGAACTACGTTCCTAGGACAGAAGCCTTGGCATCTCTATAACGTGCAAAAAATGTCCTTGATCCCATCCTACAAGGATCCTTGGCCGGTCAACGTGGACCAGATTTCTCTAACTCAGTGGTTTCTTGCTTTATTGGACGCCGAATCTTCCTAATCTTCCTAGCTGGTGTTTCTAAGGGAGGCTACTAATATTTCTCTACTTAAAAAGTTGGAGGCTAAGACTTTGAAGGGCACAACTCCACCATACGTGGAGGAAAGAGAAAACAAGGGTGGCCTTGGAAAACCTGGCGCCAAACACTCAAGCAAGATCTTGATTATTAATGCCAAAAACGTTGCAAATGATTGAAAGCGCTAGAAAACACTTGCTGCCCAATGTGTTTTGCACAGGACATGATGATGATAATGATGATGATAATAATAATAATAATAATAATAATGATAATAATAGAGTTGGAAGGGATCTTGGAGGTCACCTAGTCTAACCCCCTGCTCAGGCAGGAAACACTATGCCATTTCAGACAAATGGTTGTCCAGTCTCTTCTTAGAAACGTCCAGTATTGGAGCATTCACAGCTTCTGGAAGGAGGTTGTTCCACTGGTCAATTGTCCTCACTGTCAGGAAATTTCTAGGTTGCTTCTCTCCTTGCTTAGTTTCCATCCATTGCTTCTTGTCCTGCCTTCAGGCACTTTGGAGAATAGCTTGACTCCCTCTTCTTTGTGGCAGCCCCTGAAATATTGGAACACTGCTATCCTGTCCCCCCTCGTCCTTCTCTTCATTAAACTAGACATTCCCAATTCCAGCAAACGTTCTTTGTATGTTTTAGCCTCCATTCCCCTGATCATCGTTGTTGCTCTTCTCTGCACTCTTTCTAGATGATGAAGATTTTTTTAACCATCCTTTCATTCAAACTTGGTTAGGATTTGGGGCAGATTTAGCTGCTCACCTGTTTCATAACCCAGACGATCACAGAGTCATCCCTCTATGTTAGACCCATTGTTAAATATCTTTCTCAGCTTGGAGAGGCATTCATTAGTAAGCTGCCACCCACCACCGAAAGTTGAGTGTCCCCTTTGGCAGAAGTAAACAAGGAGTTTACATAACCTTCATTAATGAGAATTGTGTGGCAGGGATTCAACGCGGATCCCTTCTGTTGGGCCTGCCAGCTCAGGGGACTGGCAAACGACCTATTCATTAGCAACACTGGAAGATCAGGATGCGCTGAGGGTGCCAGCTTCATGCTGAGGGACATCATAATGGTTGCTAAGCATATGGAGATGCCGCATAATTTTTTTTACGCACATCAGTAGAAGAATATTCCAGAGTCCCAACTTAATCAAGTTATTTACTCTGTGTCATGGCTCAACTCTTTGTCCCAAAGGATGACGGTACTTGCTGAAGATCTCCTCTTTGGAGCAACAAACCATGTCTAGAAATTCAGAACCCCCTTCTTATCTTGTTAAATATCTCAATAAAAAAAGTTTCATTCCTGCAGGAATGATGTTGAGACAAGGTGCTGAGGGGAAGGAAGGCTAAAACATATGAAGAACTGTTGCAGGAATTAGGTATGTCCACTTTAATGAAAAGGACTTGGGGTGACATGATAGCAGTGCTTCAATATTTGAGGGATTGCCACAAAGAGGAGGGGGGTCAACCTATTCTCCAAAGCACCTGAAGGCAGGAAAAAAAAATGGATGGAAACTAATCAAAGAGAGAAGCAGTCTAGAACTAAGAAGAAATTAACAATTAACTAGTGGAACAGCTTGCCTCCAGAAGTTGTGGGTGCTCCAACACTGGAGGTTTTCAAGAAAAGATTGGACAGCCATTTATCTGAAATGGTACAGTGTTTCCTGCCTGAGCAAGGGGTTGGGCTTGGTCCCTTCCAACTGCTTAACCTGCTATTATTTTTTGTCCTTACACAGCAGCTTGACCAAAAGTAAGCAAGGCACTGTTTGTTGTTGTTGTTGTTAATTGCGAAGTCGTGTCCGACCCATCGCGACCCCATGGACAATGTTCCTCCAGGTCTTCCTGTCCTCTACCATCTTCTGGAATCCATTTAAGTTCACACCTACTGCTTCAGTGACTCCATCCAGCCATCTCATTCTCTGTCGTCCCCTTCTTCTATTGCCCTCAATCTTTCCCAGCATCAGGCTCTTCTCCAGTGAGTCCTTCCTTCTCATTAGGTGGCCAAAGTATTTGAGTTTCAACTTCAGGATCTGGCCTTCTAAAGAGCAGTCGGGGTTGATCTCTTCTAGGACTGACCGGTTTGAACGCCTTGCAGTCCATGGGACTCGCAGGAGTCTTCTCCAGCACCATAGTTCAAAGGCCTCAATTCTTTGGCGCTCAGCCTTTCTTATGGTCCAACTTTCACAGCCATACATTGCAACTGGGAAAACCATGGCCTGGACTATACACACTTTTGTTGGCAGGGTGTTTACTTACGTATAATATATATTTACTTACGTATATATTATATCAGTGTTAGGTTGTTGCAACAGCCACGGGAATGTAGCTAGGAAAAAATGGTAGCCCCAAAGAATAAGTACCTAAGAAAAATGCATAATAATGCCAGTTTGTTGTGCCTCAAGAAAGGCCTCATTCTTTTAAATGAAAGAAACGTTATTTCCATCAAAACAAATTACGATCAGATAAGGGTTGCAGCTAGAAATTCTATTTCTGAATGCTCTTGGAAAAATCTGCAGATTTAAAATGGAAAAAAAAATTCTCCCTGATTATATCCATTTGTTTTTAAAGTTCAGTGATTTGAACCTTAAAGAATGTAATCACTGACCTGTAATCCGCAGCCCAAAAGAGAAACAAGCTTTACTGGTTAGATCTAGATAAAGTTAATCATATAGACCAGGTTAAGGCAGGCGAGATTTTGTAGATCCGGGCCAGCTCAATCCACCAAGTTCTGGTATGTTATGTAATTTAGGGAGATCAAGGTTAGTTGCTTGGCGCCTGGTTTAACCTTTAACATGTTCAGGCAGATAGAAATCAGGACTATCGAGAGAGTTAACAAAGCTGGTCACCAAGGACTTCTAAACAAGCCCAGATGGCCTTTTCTTTCCTTTTGCTCACTCCTGCAGGGCTGTAGACTAAATAATTAAATTTTCACCCGTTCATATTAACTAACAAATTTTATTGAAAGACATAAGCCTTCCTGGGGCACAACTCCCTTCATTAGATGCACCTTCCAGTTTCGGTGTTATTATTTTGCTATCACAGACTAACCCGGTTCTCCTCCTCCAACAGAAACCATACTATGTTTGCCATAGGCAATTGAGAAATAGAGGATATTTACTAGGAAATTACCAAACATGACGTTGCTCTTGGATGATTAACTAGAGCTGCCTGAAAAAAAACTTCCTGAACTTTGAAACTATAGATTGAAATTTATGTCTGTTTGCCCAGTCTTGTTCAAACACTCATGATACAGCAAATATATATACGATCACACATTGCTCCTAGAAGCACGAAACCGAAGACACCAGCCTGAAGATGACGAATGAGACTTCGTCAAAACGTCGCCAAGACACTTCCAATTTGACGCGGGAGGAAACCCGAATAACCAAAGACCTACATACAAACACCCGCGAAAACCTCAGAAAAATGCAATTTTAATGTGAAACTAAGCAACACACTTGCTCCATGGGGCTACCATGCTAGCTGTGTATTCTCACAAAGAGGCCCATTGATGAAACTGTGGTCAATAACTTGCCCCTCACCTCTTTATAGGCTCCATCTGAACTGCAGTCCACCACTGACAAATAACTCTGGTGCTGGAAAGTCCTTTGCTAAGCCCCATCCCATCAAACATGGAGCTTGGGTTAACTGCAGTCTTCAAACTTCATGTGAAGTTTGGAAAGACCCAACTTGCAAAGAAAGTTTGCTATTATTGCCAAAAGGGGCATGATGGCTCAGGGGTTAAACATGTTGAGCTTGTCAACTGGAAAGCTGACAGTTTGAGACCCGAGTACTGCGGGACAGAGCGAGCTCCTGTTCCTTTCTCAGTTCCTGCCCACATGAAAGTCTGCAAATGCAAGTAGATAAATAAGTATCACTTCAGTGGGAAGTAACGGGGTCTATGCATCCCTAATGTATATAGTAGGGCCAAAAGTGTGGAAACCTTTTGGGAAAAGTGTGTTTTTGAGGTTTGATGGGTAGTAACACCCCCCTTTTTTTTGGAGTAGTACCATAAAATTATATATCCATGGAAAGATAATTTAATCAAGAATGTAATGCAACAAAGTTTGTTCAATGATCTGTACTGTATTCTATGAAACGTTATAGCCAAATAACCAGAAAAAGGAAGCACAACTTGCTTTGGTTGATCTCAGGTAGCTTTCCTTCATCTGATTGTAGCCAATGAGCGTGAGTGTTTAGAGAGCCAATTGGATGTCCTCTTGTTTTGGCAATGAGCCAATCAGATCACAGTAGGATTCAGTTATTGATGTCATGTATTGAAGCTGAGTGGAGGACATTTGTCAGTGTGCTATGTGATCGCTATCAAGTTGGTTGGGGGTTTTTTTGGTGTTCTTTCATTGAGTGAGCTTGTAAAATGTAATAAAATTAAAGTAATCGTGCAAAGAGTTGACTGGTTGCCCAGAAAGCGATGTAAAATAGTATTGTTAAGTGAACAGGGCTACATTATAAAGAAATTAGAAGAAAAATGGGTGGAAACTTGGCCAAAGGCGGCATGTCTACTGTACACTTTTCCCAAAAGGTTTCCACAATTTTGGCCACTACTGTAGTCCTGCTGGCCACCTGACATCAGAAGTGTCCTTGGACAATGCTGGCTCCCTCGACTAAGACGAGATGAGCACCACCCCCAACAGTTGGACATGACTGGAAAGGGGAAAGCTTTACCTGTGCTTTATTATTGTCAAAAGGCAATCACCCTTAGCTGTTTTCCACAACAGAGCCTTTTCAGTGGGAGCTCCATCAACTCTGGGATCGTCACCCAACAGCAGAACTGGTCCTTCCACTGTGATCTCAAGACCTGGATTAAGAGAGAAATGAGGTGTTTTCCCTACTGATCGCGGGTATGCTATTCCTGTAGATTTTTGATGATACTTGGATAGGTCCCAACAATGGTGGGCCTGTTACGGCAGAAGTGAAGATCGATCTTCTGGAAAGATGCCATACAGCAGAGGTCTCCAACCTTTCTCAATTGGCAGACCAGGGAAAAAGGGAGGGGGAAGCATTTAGGCACGTGTGCACACACACAGACACAAACGGGGCCGTGAGCACGCGTGACACAAACGGGGCAGTGCTAGCGCCTGCGTGACACTCGCTAGCACCAACCCATTTTGCTGCACGGGTGCTAGCACCGTCCCGTTTTTACTACGCGGTGCCGCATTTTCACTGCACGGTGCCCGATTTTGGTATGTGACACCTATTTTTCGTACCAATGGTGGCGCTAGCACAGCGGTTCTCAACCTATGGGTCGCGACCCCATTTGGGGTCGATCAACCATTTTTCGGGGGTCGCCAAAGAAGGCGATCCATCATTTTCTCTCCTGAGGGGGTGGCGCCATGCATGCGCGCTGCGCATGGGGGCGCCACCGCGCATGCGCGCCGCGCCACGCATGCGCAGAACGTTTGTGTGACGGGGGTCGCCGTCACACAAACGTTGAGAACCGCTGCGCTAGCACGAGTACAGTTGAGTATACGCACATATGTGCGCGCACTGGCTAGCCCAGGGGTAGGCAACCTTAGCTCTCCAAAGTTGCCTACCCCTGGGCTAGCTTGTTCCGTGGCCCGGTGGCCAGGAGGCCACGGCCTGATAATGGGCCACAGCCCACAGGTTGGGGATCCCTGCCGTAGAGAACAGGGAAAGATTCCTAGATAAACAGCCCATCTCTTTATCAGCTCATTTGTTCGTCAACAATTGAATTTGGCCACAAAGAAGGAGCTTCAGATACAGGTTTTTCTCAGACGTGAAGACTTTTCTGCCCTGCCCTCCTTTGTCATTATGTCATAGTCATTATGGATTTGCAAACATTCAATTTCAGGGGGAACTGCCTTTGGATAGCTCTAGGTTGCTTTGCATTGCAAATTCTCTTGCCTCTTAAAGTTTCTATTTGTTTAAGTAAATAGATTCATAAAGGCAGAAAAGGGAAAGGCGCGTTTGGGGGGGGGGGGAGTTCATTCTTACAGTGAAGCTCTTCCTCTCATCTCGCATTCTCACACACCAGCTTCTGGCACGGAAGTAATTTTACCTTTGTATCTTGCCCTGTAATTTCAGCTGAGCACCCAAGATCCATTTAAAGCCGATCTGTTAAAAGTTTCATTTGCAAGCTTTAGAGTCCATCACGTCTCTTTCCGATACCCCTTTATTTGTGTGGAGGCTGGGAAAGGCTGCCAATTCCAGCTGTCAGGTCCAAATGTGAATGTAAAGAGAAGGTCTATAAGAAGGAAGAGATCCTGTATAAAATCCTTTCATGTGCTGAGATGGACAGGCTTACAATGATTATGAAGGACAAGGCAGAACTCAAATACTTCAAAATCTGGGACAAATTTTACCGTTGGTATGAATTAAGGAGAACTGCTCGGATCTCAAGTTAATGATAGGATTGAAATATATATATATAAAACTGTACATATAATTGTATATTTAATTGTATTACATAAAAGGATGAGGCTTATATAGAGGTTAAGAATGATGTATTATGTTTTTGTACCACGAGAAACAAACTGTTAGGAATACTTACTCTGGAATGTCACGCTTGTCCATTTTTGTTTTAATTGTACTACAAATAAAAAACTTTTTTTTAAAAAAAAAAGAAGGAAGAGTTGGGGCTTTGAAGCTGCCCATTATAAGGACAGTACAATAGGCATAGAATAATAGATCATCCACTTACGTAGATTTCCCAACAGCGTAACTTGAAACAAAGGGGACCTACTCCCTTGAAATCCATCCTCAACCACGGGAACTCATGGTTGAATTTGGGCCTGTCTTTTCCTCTCAGTATAGGATGGGAAGATTCTGTTACTAGAGTAATAATCCCTCTAGTGCAGAGGTTCTCAACCTTTTTAATGCCGCAACCCTAACCGGTCATAAGTCGAGGACTAAACCAGTCGTACATCGAGGACTAAACCGGTCGTAAATCGAGGACTACCCAACCAGTCGTAAGTCGAGGACTTTCCCTGCCCGGGAGCGCCACGCCTGCATGGTGCCGCCCCCTGCGCCGGCCGAGGCGTAGCTGGCAAGTGGCAGAGACGGAGCAGCTGGCCCAGCCCAAGGGTGGTAAGGCATCCGCCGGAAAAGGGGAAAAAAATGGCGGACAGCCTTGCTTGGCGACCCCCGTGAAATGGTCGATCGACCCCAAATGGGGTTGCGACCTATAGGTTGAGAACCACTGCTCTAGTGTCTGTTTCTTGACCTGTCCTATCTTAAAGAACTTACGTCAATCTTGAAAGTTTTTTCAAGTTCAACTCTATTCTATCTTTAACAGAATAACAGAGTTGGAAGGGAACGTGGAGGTCTTCTAGTCCAACCCCCACTCAAGCAGAAGATCCTACACCATTTCAGACAAATGGATGTCCAATCTCTTCTTTTAAACCTCCAGTGATGGAGCACCCACAACGTCTGGAGGCAAGTCGTTCCACTGAATTATTGTTCTGCCAGGAAATTTATCCTTAGTTCTAGATTGCTTCTCCCCTTGACTAGTTTCCATCTGTTGTTTCTTATTTTGCCTTCAGATGCCTTGGCGTATAGGTACTTGAAAATCTCCCCAAGTTTCTCTCTGTTCCGTGTTATAATTAAACAGCATCGCAACCTCAGTCAAGATTGAGGGGCAGGATATAGAATAATGGCCTCAACTTACAGGAAGGCAGATTTCAATGGGAAGTAAAGAAAAGCATCTTAATGGCAGCAACAATGGAGCTAATATCAAAGGGGTTGACTCCCGTTGGCTGGGCACTTTCATGAAAGACTGGATAGCCATCTAATTGGGGATACTGAATTCCAGCACTGAGCAAAGGATTGAACTGAATGACTTTTGAGGTTCTCTCCAAGTCTATGATTCTGTAAACATAGCCCGACCATCTACAGGGACCAAGTGAACCCCAATGCATATATTTCCCATGTATTTTCCCAGGACACATGGATAAGGCAGCGAAAAGTCAGAGGTCTCCCTACCATACCGATGCACTACGAATCAATTGCCGCTGTCTGTTTTGCTGTCTGAATTCATGGGGACTTAACCCTAATCCTAAATGGATTTGGCCCCCAATGGGATTTTCCCATGTGTTTTGCCAGGAAACTTGGATAAGGCACTCTTGAAAAATCAGAACTTTCCTTACCATACCGATGCACTACAAATCTATTGGTGATGTCTTATCCATGGATGTAAATGGTGGAACCATTTTTTTTTTCACTTGTGTAAAAAAAAAAAGGTTTTCTTGTACCTACGAAGACCACTGGGGATGTGGGGATATGTTCTCTTTGGTAGGTACGGAGTTCTTTGCCTTTTTAAAAAATCAACTTTTGTTTGTGTGAATAACATAGATGAGTTAATCCTATTGGAATTTCATGCATTATTTGTGGTAATCCTCTCGAATAAAATCATGCTCCTGAAAATCAGCATTTTCCACCAAATTGCTGACCTTTAATGTATTTAGAGAAAAGGCAGACTAGACTCATAAATCTGAAAAGACGGGAAAATCCTTGTATCAGGACGCTCCCTGTTCAAACTGTGCCACTGCAATGAACTTACTGAAAGATTGGAGGACAGCTATTCTTATTGTTGGCTTCAGCCTCTGCGTCACACGCCATCTCCACAAACATTCACCTACAAATCAGTATACAAAGACAATGTTATACTGATGCTTTGTCAGGCACAGAGAATCAGGACCGTATAAGTTACAGTTCAGAAGATTTTTGCTCGAGCTATATACAAGAATTTTAATCAACAAAAGTTCAGTACTAAATTGGCACTAGATAAGGGCCAATTAAATTCACGAGGAGTTGGACTTAGACCAGAGGACACCAGGGACCAGTTCTGTGGAGAGAGGTTTTTCCACGGATCGGAGAGTGTGTGGTTTTGTGTGTTGCCTGCATCCCACAGATGGGGCTTTGCTTGTTTGTGCGGACCAGTTTCTGGCACGCTGTGGCCCGGTACCGGTCCACGGATCAGGGATTGGGGACCCCTGACTTAGACCATTTGTGGAAATGTAACAATACTAGGCTGATGACTTGTTTAACTCAGCCACTCAGCTCTGCCCGCTCTTCTCTTACAACTGGCTAGGTATAGTAGGAATTATAGTCTAGACAGTACTGTCTAGTAAAAGACTATCCTAGATATCTGAAGAACATCACAGACATCCTGAAGAGTGAAGGGCAAACATATCATGATATCTCCAGGACAGTTGGCAGGTGGACCAGCCTTCCTCTTGGGACATTTTTTTTCTCTTCTGTATTCATCCCCAGAAAATAAAGAAAATACCTATTCTCTTATGAGATAGGGGGGCAGGTAAAGAAGACACCGTTCCCAGTGGCTAGACAGGTGGGAAGAAATCAAAAGAGATTCAGCTTGGAGAAGTGCCAGCTGATGGAATACTTCTCGGGGAAAAATAATCCCCAAACAGAAAGATTCCTAAAGGAATAGAAGAAGCGTGTGAATGTACATCCTAATCTACAGACGACAGGCCTCAGTTTCTCCCCAGTGTGTGGTCTGTGGATACCATCAGGTGCACAGAAACATCTTCTAGTGCCTAGAAGGCTATATGACATGGTGAAGGTATCCTAATTTATAGAATGATGACTGTTGCTCGTAAAATGAAATAATAATAATAAAGTTGGAAGGGACCTTGGAGGTCATCTAGTCTAACCCCCTGCTCAGGCAGGAAACCCTATACCATTTCAGACAAATGGCTGTCCATTCTCTTCTTAAAAACTTCCAGCGTTGGAGCATTCACTGCTTCTGGAGGCAGGTTGTTCCACTGGTTCATTGTTCTAACTGTCAGGAAGTTTCTCCTTAGTTCTAGGTTGCTTCTCTCCTTGATGAGTTTCCATCCGCTGCTTCTAGTCCTGCCTTCAAGCGCTTTGGAGAACAGCTTGACTCCCTCTTCTTTGTGGCAGCCCCTGAGATACTGGAAAACTGCTATCATGTCCTCCCTCATCCTTCTCTTCGTTAAACTAGACATACCCAATTCCAGCAACCGTTCCTTATATGTTTTAGCCTCCAGTCCCCTAATCATCTTTGTTGCTCTTCTCTGCACTCTTTCTAGAGTCTCAACATATTTTTTACATCATGGTGACCAAAACTGGATGCAGTATTCCAAGTGCTGAGGAATTTTGGGAGTTGAAGCCCACAAGTCATAAAGTGGCCAAGATTGGGGACCCCTGCTATACAGAGAGTCCTTGAGTTACAGCCATTCTTTTAATGTCCGTTCAATGTTACAACAGCACAGGAAAAAAATGACTTCTTATCGTTTTTCATGCTTACAACGGTTGCAGCATCCCCAGGGCCACGAGATCAAAATTCAGACATTGATGACGGTTGCCGTGTCCCAGGGTCACGTGATCCTCTTTTGCGACTTTCTGACAAGCTGAGTCAATGGGGAAGCCAGATTCATTTCACAACCCCATTACTAATTAACGACTGCAGTGATTCACTTAACAGCGGAGCCAAGAAAGGTCGTAAAATGGAGCAAAACTCACTTAACAACTGACTTGCTTAGCAAAGGAACCTTTGGGCTCAGTTATGGTTGTGGGTCAAGAACCACCTGTAGGTAAGTTTTTACAGCAGGCCTAGACTGGAAAGTTTTAAAAGGGAAGAAGGAAGACTGGTTAACTCCCAGCCGAGAAAACTTATATCTGTAGTGGCGAACCTATGGCACGGGTGCCAGAGGCGGCACTCAGAGCCCTCTCTGTGGGCACGCGCACCGTCGCCCCAGTCCTAGGCCTTCAGCTGGGTTTTATAAAACCTTTTCGCTTTAGGCCTCCGCCGCCGTGTGTAAAAAAAAAAAAAAGGTTCAATCAGTCAATTTCAACTTCTCGCGGGGGAAAAAAAGATCTCACAAAGTTGGAATTGATTGATTGAACTTTTTAGTCCCACCCAGTCTGCCGTTACCACTGCAGCGATGCCCACCCAATGGGCCATGCCCACCCAATGGGCCACGCCCACCTGGCACCCGACAATACATAAGTGGGTTTTGGGTTGCACTTTGGGCACTTGGTCTCTAAAAGGTTTGCCGTGACTGACCTATATTATTTTTTTAAGCACACGGATCCATCCCTGTGTATCTGGAGGCTTTGCTGACACAGCGGCAGCAGGCAACATGACTCTTTCGCACTGCATGGAAAGCATTTCCGAGTTCCACCTGAAAGTTAATTTTATTTTGCTCTTTGCCTCAAGGCATTCATGGGGTTTGGCAATTTCACCCTCCTCTAAATATTCCTAGTAGCTGGGTGGGGCCATCAGCCTTCATACAAATTTCATAATAATACCCATCACGCTATTATTTATCCTCCACAGTCTTTCACAAGAATAAAACCATCAGATTCAGCCTGTTCCCTTCCTGCCCCCAGAAGGTATCCTTTGGGTCTCAGGTGATAATCTCAAAGGTTTGGGGTACAACCCCCAATAGGGTAGATGCAGTTTTCTGTTGCCACAGAAAAAGCAGCAATAACATCCTCTCCTCGACGTCTACAAGAGGGCAATCCTCCAATCGACCGACTGAAGAGTCCAAAATTAAAACCCGCAACGCACGTTCAGAGTCAGTTCGTAAAGATGTGATGGTCGTACCAAGATTGTTAAGAACACAGGAAAGAAAGAAGGCATTTGGGGCGTTACAATCCTGGTGCAAGGGGTATCTAAGAAGACATAGGTAGTCCTCGACTTACAACTGTCTATTTAGTGACCAAAGTTACAGCATCACTGAAAAAAGGGACATGACCCTTTTTCACACTTACGACCGTTGCAGCATCCCGAAGGTCATATGATCAATATTCAGACACTGGGCAACTGACTCGTATTTATGACAGTTGTGGTATCTTGGGGGGGGTCCTGTGATCCCCCTTTATGACCTTTGGACAAGCCAAGTCAGTGGGGGGGGCAGATTCACTGCACAACCTTCTTACTAACTTAACAACAGCAGGAAAGTCGCAGAATATGGCAAACAACTCACTTAACAAATGTCTCACTTAACAACAGAAATTTGGGGCTCAGTTGTGGTCGTAGGCAGAGGACCCCCTGTACTACCCTGGAGAAGAGCCCTTTCTCGTGTTGTTATCGCTGGGCCTCGGACAATTTAGGTGATGGAAAGTGGGGTTTCTCTTAATCACCACCTACCCGCATCTAAAAATTCCGCAAACAGGATATGCAGAGAAGAACTTCCTGTTGTTCACAGGAGTTTCAGCTGGAGTGTTGCTATTTGGGGGAGCTTATTTCCTTTCAGGGTGTTCCAGATTTCATTCTGATTTTGTTCATGTTTTAATTTGGCAATGCAAGTCTCCGTGGGAGGGTTTCGTCCGACCGGTTGCCTAAAAACATTTTAAACAGCAATCGTGATCAGTAAACATTTGCAGTCAAGTGTTACATATACTTCTCTGCATCGTATCTAATAAAAAGACGGACAGGCCTAAACCTATGGAAGGTATCTTGTAAAAAGGAAAGAAACAGAAGACAGGGCAGTCAGAATAACAACACAAACCTGGGCAAGATAAACTGGCGAGTGAAAACACTCCGTGCAGCATTTTTTCACTTCTAGGCGAAGCGATTTCCCGATAGTGGGCACATCCCCGGGGTACGAGAAGAGAAATGGGAGCTTATCCAAAGGCAGGAAAAGCGACGATCAAATGCAATCCCGTTGCGATGAGCAAAGGAAGAGGAGCTGGTTTTGCCTAGAGGGGAAAGGAGATTAAGAAGCAGGATAACCATCTTCAAGAGTTGGCACTGGCAAATTTTCCCACAAAGTTGGAAAACAAACATCCTACGGTATAAGGATAGGGATAAAGCTCTGTGGAGATTGCCAGTCATCCATGGTTGTCTCAAAGGTGCCTTTAAAAAAATAAAATAAAAAAAGCAATGGGATTGTTTTTTTCTTGAAGAAGACGTTTCGCTTCTTATCCGAGAAGCTTCATTGGTTCTGGCAAGAAGGTGGGGGCGATGGAACACTGTTCCCTTCTGCAAGTTATTTTTTTTTTCCTGTCCCCATCAAGATTCAGCTACCGTTCTTAATCTGGTGAGTTTTCTAAATGGCCGCTGATAAATAGTAGAATTGGTACAGCATGCAACTAGTAAAGCTGATTTGAAATTAGCTGTTTCTCAAGGCAGGAGCATCTGGGCAGCCCTTTGTCTGAAATGGTATAGGGCTTCCTGCCTGAGCAGGGCGTTGGACTAGAAGACCTCCAAGATCCCTTCCAACTTTATTATTATTATTATTATTATTATTATTAAGTTGGAAGGGACCTTGGAGATCATCTAGTCCAACCCCCTGCTCAGGCAGGAAGCCCTATACCATTTCGGACAAATGGCCGTCCACTCTCTTCTTAAAAACTTCCAGTGTTGGAGCATTCACCGCTTCTGGAGGCAGGTTGTTCCACTGGTTAATTGTTCTAACTGTCAGGAAGTTTCTCCTTAGTTCTAGCTTATTATTATTATTCATTAGACATGAACCTCAGTCAACTGAACATTCAAATTGGCTGGTGCTGATGGTTGACACGGGTTGCTACCAGCATCCTAGATGTCAACCAGGTATCATCATCATCATCTTTATTAAAATTTATCGGAATCATGAGACTGAATTGGAGTGCACGATCAAATGTACTAAGAGCAATATTATTTCTCTTTCATTCTACATAAAACTGAAGTGGTATTAAGAGAAAATGTCAGACCGATTTATTCACAAGGAAAGTACTATCCCTTTTAAATCAAAGGCTAGTGGTTTTTGTTTTTTTAAATTACAACTAAAGCTTTTTGTTCATTTAGCAATTCACTATTTTCAGTCAAATATCCCTTATTTTCGTTTGGTGCTGCTTTCTGCTGTAATCTAAATGTCACCCAAAACATCGGACATGAAAAAGGCCAAGCATGCTTATTAGCAAATGGATTAACATCCTGCTCAACTAAAGCTTATGTCTTTAAGGCCCCAGTAGCTTGTTACATAAAGCATTTTTCTTCCTTGTAACTGGAGAGAGAGGGGGGGGGGAGAGGGAGGGAGAGAGAGAGACAGGAGAGAGAAAAGAGAGAGAGAGGAGAGGAGAAAAAAGAGAGAGAGAAGAGAGAAGAGAGAGAGAAAAGAGAGGAGAGAGAAAAGAGAGAGAAAGAGAGAGGAGAAAAAAGAGAGGAAAGAGAGAGGGAGAAGAGAGAAAAAAGAGAGAGGAAAGAGAAAGAGAGAGGGAGAAGAGAAAAAAGAGAGGAGAGAGAAAAGAGAGAGAGGAAAGAGAAAGAGAGAGTGAGAAGAGAGAAAAAAGAGAGGAAAGAGAAAAGAGAGGAGAGAGAGGAGAGAGAAGTGAGAGAAAAGAGAGAGGAGAGAGAAAAGGAGAGAGAGAGAGAGAAAGAAAGAAAGATAGAAAGAAAGAGAGAACTGAAGGCAGTTGACTAAGCAGGCAAGAAAAACAAGCCCCTCCAATATTTATTTGTGTTAAGCTTGGAGTTGTTCTTGTCATTCAAAGGTCAAAAGCAAGGTACAGCCGGTTGCCTCCCAGCGATCCAAACACCTCTGGCATTTGAAATGGTTTTGCTCTCGGGGGTGACCCGAGCTTAAGCTGGTGTGTGGCACAGCCATCCGTGAAGGTAGACTTGGTGAAGACCTTCTCTACTCTTGAGCTCTGAGGTCAACAAACCAGAAAGTGCCACCCTGAAATGAAGGCAAAGAGCCAAGTTAAAAAGATGGCTGGACACTTCTAAATCCCTCCCATTTCCAAGTTCACAAATATTGTTGTGTCTGTGTTTCATGTTCCATAAGTAGATGTGGAACTATGTCCGGTCCTCGGTTTGCTTTCTGAACTGGTGACCGGAAGAACGGAGGGACAACTAAGAGCATCTGCACTTGGATGCTAGGACATCTCATTCATGTCCTGGAGTTTTTAAGTTTTTATTTAATTTTGTTCATTGTCTCCCTTTGATGTTCCCTCAAAAGGCATCTTCAAGAAACAGTCTAACACTTCTTTCTATCTATCTATCTATCTATCTATCTATCTATCTATCTATCTATCTATCCATCCATCCATCCATCTATGTCTGTCTCTGTCTGACCATCCATCCATCCATCCATCCACCCACCCACCCACCCATCCATCCATCCATCCATCCATCCATGTCAATTAACAACTAGAGGAGCTACATTAATGACCATGTCAATCATTCTTTAGATCAAGAAACTGTCTGTTTTTTATGGACAAGAAAGAAATGTACTTTATTTGAGCTTCAGTTTAGGCCTTAGGTTCAGTTCAGGAAGCCTGTAATGCCAGAGCTTCTTGGTGGTGAAGGCAATGTCTGAGAAGGTTCTCAGTCATCCAGGTCATGGTTGTCCCATGACAACTGGGCTTTGTTTTTCCTTGAAGAACTGAAGAAGCTTCTTGGGTGAGAAGCGACACGTCTTCAAGGAAAAGTAAAGTGGAGAAATCAGTTATTTCAATATCTCTGTAACCAAACAGTCTTGCAGAGGTGAAGATTAGCTCAACCATGAATAAGCTAGATGTGGCCATCTCCTACGATGTCCAGGGAACTGTTAAAGGTCAAAGTGCAACCTAGCAATAGCTACGCAACAACCGATTTACACATTTTAGTCCCTTTCAATAGTCAGCAGCATTTCTGAGGTGTGATTGCATCGAGAGATTTCGGCAAAGGCTGAGTTTCTGGAGGAAAACACCTCAAGGATATCATGCTACTGTGACATTGTAATCCAGGGATGTCCAACTTTGGCAACTTTTAAGATTTGTGGACTTCAATTCCCAGAATTCCCCAGCCGGCCATGATACATCTCCATGCTGGCTCAGGAATTCTGGGAGTTGAAGTCCACAGGTGTCCAAGTGGCCAGGATCGGACACTCCTGATCTAAACAGAACACAACTGCTCAAATTCAAGGACTGTCAGAGCTCTTCTTTTGGTGAAAGAAGCTTAGCTGGTTTCTGGTTTGCTTTTCTGTCCATATCTTAGGCCAGTGTTTCTCAATCTTGACAATTTTAAGGCATGTGGACGTCAACTCCCAGAATTCCACAGCCAGCATTGCTGGCTGTGGAATTCTGGGAGTTGACGTCCACATGCCTTAAAATTGTCAAGGTTGAGAAACCCTGTCTTAGGCAGATCTTTCAAGTCCATCATGTATTCATTGGACTGCAGCAAAGTGTTCATCCTCAAGAGTTACTTGTTATGGGGAATGTTCTGTGTTTCCCCCTCCCTTCTTCTCTCTTTACCTCCTTCCATTTTTGCACAGAATGTTCCACGAAATCAGTCAGGAACGTCAAAAACAACAGTGCCTAACTGGGTCATTTCGAACAACTTTGCTTCTCCTGTTATTCAGATCACCGAGTTCTGCTCGCTTTGGACCCTGCCAAGCGAGCTTCAGATAGGAGTGAGGTTTTCAGCCCTCCCACCCCGGTCAGGGAACCGTAGTTGCTGCCATGAGGTCATGCTCATTTGCTTCAATGGCTTAAAAAGACAAAGCAGTAGCCTTTGGAGGTCAGGATTCATTAGCCATAACTAGATTGGACCTCTGCTTTTAGCAGCAACGTAACTCTGAATAGCAGACCAGATTAGGAGGGTAAACGAGGGGAACTGGAGGCAGGCGTTGAAGGAGAGGCTTCTGTTTGCATCCTGGAAATGTCTTCTTTTCTGCTGTCTTTTTATCTCCACCTTATAAACAGGCATCCCCTCGTTTGCCAAGCAAGTCTAGGAAACCAGAGAAAATTTACAGTTAATCACACTAAAGGACAACCAAAGTGATGAAGTGGTTAAGATACACACACACAGTCTTTCACTCTCTCTCTCTGTCTCTCACACACCCACACTCACACCCACAGACTCTTTTTTTTTTAATTGAAAGTTTTTAAAACTTTACAACAAAATACTCCCCCCCTCCCACCCCCCCATCACCCTCTCCCCTACTTCCCAGAGCTGAATACAGGGTTAAAAACAACAAAAAACATACAACTTAAATGAACATCAAACAATTATACATACATCCCAAAAACAAAATTTTAAATACTTTAACTCCAATACATAAAAGCAAAGATTCTAACCATTACCCTTAAACATAGATTATTCAAAAGCTAAATAATACTTTCTAATCTCATATTTGTTCTGTATAAAATTCACCCATCTTTTCCACACCAAAATATATTTCTCTTGTGGTTGATCTTTCAGATAAGTCGAAATTTTTGCCATTTCGGATAAATAAGAAACTTTAAGAAACCATTCTTCTAAAGTAGGCAAAGAGTCCTTCTTCCAATATTGCCCAATCAGCAACCTTGCCGCTGTACACCCACAGACTCTTGAAGAGGAAAGATTGCAGCATTTGGGACTTTCACTGAAAAGGTGGGTTAAGTGAAGACACAAAACCAGGTGTGTATAATAATTTTTTTTTTCTTCCTTCCTTGCAATATTTAAACTCAGTTACCCATAGAAGCTAACCGTGGGGAGATTCAGGATTGATAAAAGCAGAGTACTTCCTTGCATGATGCATACTTCAGCAATGAAGATTTCAGCTCTGCTCCCTTAATTTAAACAACACCTATTTAAATTCTGGAACTTCTTACTCTCAGCTCTGGTGTTGGCCACCATTTTAAATAGACATCCAGGCCACCAATGGTTACTAATCTCAGTGGCAGCATCAGAAGTATATATTGGATCAGGATTTTTCAAACTGGGCAACTTGGAGATGTAAAGATCTCAACGGCAGAAATTTTCCAGCCAGCAAAGCTGCCAACTTTGAAAACACTTGAAGTGGCAAATAAGGTTGTCTAAGTACACAAGATGAAGAAAAGGAGCCCCTTGTTTGTTCTTGAGATGCAGGACCTCCAAGTTGTTTTCCACGCGTGGCAGTTTGAAGGATTGTTGAAGCACAACATGCTCTGAAGCTTTGCACGGAGGTCAAACTTGCTGACATGCAGAGATTTCAGGATCCTGTCTGGTTGGTGACGGATGTATGATGGAAGGGTTAATAATAATAATAATAATAAAGTTGGAAGGGACCTTGGAGGTCATCTAGTCCAATCCCCTGCTCAGGCAGGAAACCCTATACCATTTTGGACAAATGGCTGTCCAGTCTCTTCTTAAAAACTTCCAGTGTTGGAGCATTCTCCACTTCTGGAGGCAGGTTGTTCCACTGGTTAATTGTTCTCACTGTCAGGAAGTTTCTCCTTAGTTCTAGGCTGCTTCTCTCCTTGACTAGTTTCCATCCGTTGCATCTTATCCTGCCTTCAGGTGCTTTGGAAAATAGCTTGACTCCCTCTTATTTGGGGCAGCCCTTGAGATACTGAAAGGCTGCTTTCATGTCCCCCCTCGTCCTTCTCTTCATTAAACTAGATATACCCAATTCCAGCAACCGTTCCTTATATGTTTTGGCCTCCAGTCCCCTGATCCTCTTTGTTGCTCTTCTCTGTGCTCTTTCTAGAGTCTCAGCATCTTTTTTACATCGTGGTGACCAAAACTAGATGCAGTATTCCAAGGGTGGCCTTACCAAGGCATTGAAGAGTGGTATTAATACTTCACGTGATCTTGATTCTATCCCTCTGTTAATGCAGCCTAGCACTGTGTTGGCTAAGAGTCTTTGCCCGGAACCACTAAGTCTCATGTGTTCTCCATCCCGCCTCTCTCTCCCTTAATACAGGTAGTCCTCAACAGTTCATTTAGTGACCGTTCAGAGTTGCAACCTATGACCGTTTTTCACACAGCCCTTGCAAGAAACCCACGGTCACATGGTCAAAATCCAGATGTTTGGTAACCGGTTTCTATTTAGGACGATTGCAGAGTCCCGGGGTTTGTGTGTGTGTCATGTGATCCCCTTTTGCGACCTTCTGACAAGCAAAGTCGATGGGGAAGCCGGATCCACTTAACAATCGTGCTACTAACTTAACAAACGGCGTGATTCCCTTAGCCCCGGTGGCAAGGGGAGTCGTAAAATGGGGGGCAAACTCAGTTAACAAATGTTTCTCTTCGCAACATAATAAGCCTGGGCTCGGTTGCGGTGGGAACTTGAGGACTGTCTGTGTGCTTGTTTGTCTGTGTGCCGAGGTGGCGCAGCAGTGCAGTCCTGCAGGCCACTTTAGCTGACTGTGTTCAGCAGGTCATCGGTTCAAATCTCACCGGCTTAAGGTTGACTCAGCCTTCCATCCTTCCGGGGTAGGTAAAATGAGGACCCAGACTGCTGGGGGCAATGTAAATATATATATATACTGGTGTACACCGCTTAGAGCAGTGGTTCTCAACCTTTTTAATGCCGTGACCCCCAACCGGTCGTAAGTCGAGGACTACTCAACCGGTCGTAAGTCAAGGACTACTCAAGTGGTGCAGCACCGTATGCAGAACGGGACTTTTGGCGGGCTCAGCAGGGCAGAGACAACCTGGACAATTCCTATTGGCTTTTGAAAGCCAATAGAATTAGACTCTATTCAAGAGAGTCTATTCTATTGGCTTTCAAAAGCCAATAGAATAAAAGGGAGCAGCACAGCTAAGGAAAAGGGGGAAAAAATGGCGGACTGCGTTGTTTGGCGACCCCCGTGAAATGGTCATTCAACCCCAAATGGGGTCCCGACCCACAGGTTGAGAACCACTGGCTTAGAGAGTGCATGCACTTAAAGCAGTATATAAGTCTCATAAATAAATAAATAAATCTTAACACTGAAAAGCTGCTGCAGCTGAAGTCGAGAACTTCTGTGAACTCTGCCAGGCGGCAATATCGATTTTTGCCAGTCAGAATCCGTATTGCTCAACCAGCCTTTCCCCAACCTAAACACTGGACGCGTCATGTGTAAAGTTTCCACACAGGGTTTATGCAGTCTAGACTGACTGCCCCTCCCTCCCTCCCCCTTATCCCTAATGCTATTTTCATACAGGCATATCTCAAACCTGAAATTCCCAATGCCTCAAAGTATAGTTTTGCAACAATTAAATTAAGCCCCTGGAAAGTATGCATAACCCCAAATTGCTAGGCAATTAACATTCTCCATTTTCAGAGAACTGCTTAGTTATCTGTGGCCTACTTACAGCACAAAGAAAGGAGCAAAGGGTTCAGGGCATTGCTTGTTCTGAAAACAGCTTCATTTCTCCCCCCCCCCCATAAAGGGCACCTTCTGAAAGGGGGGGAGGGGGGGAAGCAGATTCTTATATAATCTCATGAAATCACAATGAATTAAGAGGGTGGCCAAGTTCAACCCTGGGTTCCTTTTCAAGGAAACTTTCAGTTCAATCTCAAAGGAAAGCAAAACAAAACAAAATAAAGAAATCAACAGAAGCGTCTATTAGGGAGAGTTTGCCAAACAGACAATTTGTAACAGCTCCAGATTGAAAAAAGAGGGTTTTTTTGTGTGTGTGTATGTGTGTATGCCTATTGTTAATGACAATGCAAGGCTGCTGTGTCCCCAGCCTGGATCCAGGATCTATCTGGATTAACAGGGCTCTGCCGGCCAATCGTGATGCTTTGTGATGGAGATCAGAATTGTTCCAAGACTCATCTGCAAACGTCAAAGAGGTTCAGCTGAGGTTTGTTCCACCGCAAAGCTTGTTGTTGTTGTTGTTAATTGCGAAGTCGTGTCCGACCCATCGCGACCCCATGGACAACGTTCCTCCAGGTCTTCCTGTCCTCTACCATCTTCTGGAGTCCATTTAAATTCACACCTACTGCTTCAGTGACTCCATCCAGCCATCTCATTCTCTGTCGTCCCCTTCTTCTATTGCCCTCAATCTTTCCCAGCATTAGGCCCTTCTCCAGTGAGTCCTTCCTTCTCATTAGGTAGCCAAAGTATTTGAGTTTCAACTTCAGGATCTGGCCTTCTAAAGAGCAGTCGGGGTTGATCTCTTCTAGGACTGACTGGTTTGAACACCTTGCAGTCCAAGGGACTCGCAGGAGTCTTCTCCAGCACCATAGTTCAAAGGCCTCAATTCTTTTGCGCTCAGCCTTTCTTATGGTCAAACTTTCACAGCCATAGCTGGAGAACATTCACCGCAAAGCTGGAGAACATTGAATGGGAACATAAGAGCTGTTTTAAAGTGAGCTGACTTCCCCTTTCGATGTCTGGGACATTACAGGACAGGTTTCAGAATCTTAAGGAAGTGACCTTGAGGTTTACGACACTCATCTAGGCATTGTACTTCAAAACCTGATAGAAACACATCTTGATAATCTGCCACATTCCCGTCCTATCACATCACCTTTGCCCTGCTTTAATGGAAGAGTTTTTTTTGGGGGGGGGGGAACCAAAACAAGCTACAACACAACAGCAGGAATGCCCTGCGGAAAGACAGAAGAGAAGCCGGATTGCAATGTCAAATAAAGGCAGGGAGAGAGATGAACTGATGTCAAAACTCAGCTCCTTGCAGGAAAGGTGGGATCTGTAATAAGGAAAAACGCTGGATAAGCCCAGTGTAGGAGACGACCAGGCTGAGCCTGAGGGAGGGGGTCAAATGCATCATCAATCATGAATCCCTGCGCGCTCACAAGAGATCTAAATCCAGCCCACCTTGAATGCCTTTCTAGTCTTAACTCCTGTTAATTCCCCTTGCCGATAGTAGTTCAAATTCCTGTAGAGCAGTGGTTCTCAACCTTTTTAATGCCGCGACCCCCCAACCGGTCGTAAGTCGAGGACTACTTAACCGGTCTTAAGTCGAGGACTACTCAACTGGTGCAGCACCGTTTGCAGAATGGGACTTTTGGCGGGCTCAGCAGGGCAGAGACAACTTGGACAATTCCTATTGGCTTTTGAAAGCCAATAGAATTAGACTCTATTCAAGAGAGTCTATTCTATTGGCTTTCAAAAGCCAATAGAATAAAAGGGAGTAGCACAGCTAAGGAAAAGGGGGGAAAAAAATGGCGGACTGCGTTGTTTGGCGACCCCCGTGAAATGGTTGTTCGACCCCAAATGGGGTCCCGACCTACAGGTTGAGAACCACTACTGTAGAGAGCTTAAGTTTTCAATAAATCTTTATATACATTTGAACAGCCTGGATCTCCTGATCTCCCTGGCACTTGATCCCCAGTGAAGGATAGGTTGTCTTCTCCCTCCAGCTCTTCCTCTACTACAGGAAGACCCCCTCCATCTACTTCTTCCTTCAACTGTACCTAAGAGCAGCCAAGGGAGGCAACACAGCCACAAGGTCAATCCACCAGCCCTTTGGAACGATTGGCCCTTTTCATTTCCAGCAGAGTTTTCAGCTGTAAACTGAATCATGGTAGTTACCTCTTAAGAACTGGTTTGCAAACCTGTATTTCCTTTCCTGCCTCCTCTTTCGTTCCGCGTGGTGTCCCGTAAATGGACTTTTCAGACGTTGTACGCACGCTGCTCCTGAAGGTTTTCTGGTTGGGAAGAATAAACATGTTTTAAATACAGATAGTCCTTGTTTAGCGACTGCCTGGTTTAGTGACCATTTGCAGTTGCGATGGTGAGAAAGAAGCAACTTTGCGACCAATCCTTAACAGTTAAGAGTGATCAACCCTCCCTGAACCAATGACTCTGAACAGTTCAAACCCAGAGCAGAAAAAAATTGAGGTCAGTATGTTTTGGAAGATAGCAAAGGCAGCTCCCAAAATAGAGGTGTTTGTACTCACACTGAACAGGGCACAGAAGGATTTGAGACGTTTTATTAGGGCATCTCAAGCTTAACACCTTTAAGATATGTGGACTTCAACTCCCAGAGTTCTCCAGCCTGCATGAGAGTTACAGTCCACATATCTTAAAACTTGCTGAGGTGGAGAAACATTAGCTTAGGGCCGTGGTGGTGAACTTATGGCATGGGTGCCAGAGGCAGAACGCAGAGCCCTCTCTGTGGGCACGCACGCCGTCGCCCCAGTCCTAGGCCTTTAGCTGGGTTTTATAAAACCTTTTCGCTTTAGACCTCCGCCGCCGTGTACAAAAAAAAAAAAAAAAGGTTCAATCAATCAATTTCAACTTCTCCTAGGAAAAAGATCTCGCAAAGTTGGAATTGATTGATTGAACTTTTTAGTCCCACCCAGTCTGCCTTTACCACCACAGCCATGCCTACCCAATAGGCCACACCCACACTGAATGGGTCACGCCCACCCAGCACCCAACAATACATAAGTGGGTTTTGGGTTGCAGTTTGGGCACTCGGTCTCTAAAAGGTTCGCCATCACTGGTTTAGGGTAAGGTTTATATGAGCTGTCCCATTAAAAAAACAACAACAACAACCCCAAACTGGTAAGAGTTGATAAATCTGGAGAAAAGGAAGAGAATTCACATCCCTTCTGAAGTCACTCTATTCATCACATTACCAAGTCAAACTCCTAGCAAGTTACAGAGCACTTTTTAAAAACGTTTTAAGAAAGGGAAAAAAAAGAAAAACCTAAGGGAACCCATGACTTTCCCAATGGCTGTGCAATGACACCGGGAAAAGTCACAAGGACTTTCTCGTGGATCTTAATTGCTCACAAGTTGGGAGTCAATTAGACGGGCGAACGTGTCCATCTAACTTTGGCCCCCAAATGAAAAGAAAAGGGAAAAGAAGAAGAGGAAGGGTAGAGAAAAAGCCAGGTTTTGGATAGGCTACTGGGGAACTGAGAAAACCCCACAGGAAAATGACTGTGGTTTGGCCCTAAGCGATGAAGGCGCTGAGAATAATGGTTTAATACAGGGGAAGGGTGAGAAGATGGCTTTGCAATACATACCAATTCTTTGTGGTCAGACAGGCGATGATGCTTTTTTAAAAAAAAACAACTCCAAGGGGAGTCGTTATCCCTTCACTGCTACACAGTTAGAACACAGAATCATAGGGCTGGAGAGGACCTCAGGTCTTCTAGTCCAATCCTCTGCTCAAGGCAGGACACCTTACACCAAGGGTCTTCAAACTTGGCCCTTTTATGACTTGTGGACTTCAACTCCCAGAATTCCTCAGCCAGCATGAAAAATTCTGGGAGTTGAAGTCCACAAGTCATAAAAGGCCCAAGTTTGAAGACCCCTGCCTTATACCATCCTGGTCCAATGATTGCTTGATGCCTTTCCTTTCTCCCATTCTTCTGACAATCCTCAAACTCCTATCAGGTTTTCTATGTTCCATCATCCCCAATCAACAAATATCCTGACTGAAGCTGGAGAGCCCACAGGTACCACCCGTCTTTGCCCAAGGTGACCAGAACGTCAAAAACATCTCTGGACGTTTTTTTCTGGGTACAGGCAACGGAGTCTGCCCATCCTGGTTGTGCTATGCTAGACCAGGGCTTTTCAACCTTTTCACCCATTGTGCCACTTTTAGGATATGGCAACATCCGAGTACCACCAGTCGCCTAGCAAGGTGTCAAAAACTTGATGACCAAAAAAAAAAAAAAGTGATAAAGTACAGATAGTCCTCGACTTACAACAGTTCGCTTAGTGACTGTTCAAAGTTACAATGGCACTGAAAAAAGTGCCCCCCCCAAGGCACAGCCGAGCAAGACACCTGCCTGCCCGCCTGGTGGCGCTCTTCCTCCTGTCCGAGGTTTTCATTGTTGTGAGCATTTCTGTTGAGGATTGGCAGCAGGGGTGGAGTGGGGGTGTTTGGTTTTTATTCCTGTCTGCTGGGTGGTTGCAGCAGGTTTTTGTCATTTCACATGACCCTGTGACCGTCATAAATATGAATCAGTTGCCAAGCATCTGAATGTAAATCACAAGACCCTGGAGAGGCTGCAACATTCCAGCTGATCGGCGCTTCTTCAGGGCTCAGCAGAAGCACCAGGATCAGTGCTGCTTTCCAGCTGATTGGTGCTTCTTCAGGGCTCAGCAGAAGCACCAGGATCAGCTCCAAGCTGCAGCTGGAGCCTGGCGCTGATCCTGGTGCTTCCACTGAGCCCTGACAGCCCCGAAGAAGCGCCGATCTGGAAAGAGGCACTGATCCTGCCGCTTCTGCTGAGCCCTGACAGCCCTGCAGCTCCAGCCGTCTCTCGCTCAGGCTTGTGCGGTGCTGCCACCGGTTCAGCTCATTCCCCTCCCCCGCTACCACTTTTCTAGGATGGTTGCGTACCACCTGCCAGGTGCCAATGTACCACAGGGGGTACCCGTACCACTGGTTGAAAAGCCCTGTGCTAGACAATGCAAGAGGCACAGGCCCCCAAATTGGTCACCAAACATACACACCAATCCCACCACATTAAAAAAAAAAAATCCCACAAAAAGTTTTATTCACATTAATATCATTAATACAAATGTCGCCCCCACCCCAATCTTCATGGAATCTACTTACATCATGGTTGGAAAAGAACAATATAGTCTCTATTTTTTTTTTTTTAAAAAACCACCCTATCACCAATGTTCAAAGTCCATGCCTATTACATCTCCTCATCTTCATCTTCCTCATCGCTGATCACATATTTCTTCTGTTTCTTGCTGGCCTTTTCGTCATCTTCAGCTTTTCTCTTACCGGAAGGCTCACCCTCCTGGAATTAAAAAGAAAGAAATTTCAAAACACAAGGCAGGATCTGGGGATGAAGTTCCTCCTAAATCTATTTCCTTAAAGTATCCTGGAACAAATATTTGTGTGCGAACATTCTCTTTAGCGGGAAATGAAAAAGAATCACTTGTGTGTGAACATCAGAACTATTAAATTCACACACGCCGAAGATAGAAAATAGGCTACAGGATATTAAAACACTGAAAAAGTGAAATGTATTCTTCAGAGTGGGAAAACTGTTTCTAATTAAATACAAGATCCTCAGGGTGAAGTAACTTGGCAATTAGTGTTATTAACTGCTTACAGCTCTAAATAGGTATATATTCTGAATAATGACAGTAATTTCACAAGTTGAGCCAGGGCTGAGTTATTCTCCTGATCTTAATAGAGATGGTTGCCTTCCAGACACATTTCTTCTAGGTTCTTAGGAAAATCTTGAAAAATTCAAAGGTTTTCCCACTGTAACTGGTCTCCCAAAACATAACCCTTCTAAATAATTTTTAAGCAATCAATGATGAGTTGTGATTAAAAGGAGATTCTTATAAAAACACACAAGTGTCTGGATGGACCACAATATTTGTGTCACATATGCTATGGGTTGTGTTTTTTTTTTTTTTTAATGCTGAAGCACCACCCTGTGGTGGATTTGAATAACACTCAAACTGAATAGCTTGATAGCTTGAAAGAGGCCAAAACAAAGCCGTGGTTCACGTGGCCACAGTATTATGAAACGCTGATTGGATGGACCAATTGTGGGAAGAGAACAGTCTTTCGGTCTATGTGTCATTGATGGTCTTACCCCATTTGCATCAGTGTACCACAGTTGTAGAATCACATACAGATGCAAATGGTATAAACTGTTGAAAAATGTCAGGGTGGTTATTGGAGGTAATCCTCGGCTTATGACTGCGATGGGACCCCGAATTTACAACTATATGTCAGTCATTGTAAGATGTTGAGAGTTTGGAAAAAAATTCAGAGATGAGCAACTAAGATGATCCAAGGCCTGGAGACTAAAACATACAAAGAACGGCTGCAGGACTTGGGTTTGGCTAGTCTAAGGAAAAGAAGAAATAGGGGAGACATGATAGCAGTATGCCAGTATTTGAGGGGCTGCCACAAAGAAGAGGGGGGCAGTTGGTTCACCAAAGCACCAGAGGGCAGGACGAGAAACAATAGTTGGAAACTGATCCAAGAGAGAAGCAACCTGGAATTAAGGAGAAACTTCCTGACAGTGAGGACAATCAACCAGTGGAACAGCTGGCCTCCAGAAATCATGGGCGCTCCATCACTGGAGATTTTTAAGAAGAGGCTAGACCAGGGGTAGGCAACCGTGGCTCTTTTATGACTTGTGGACTTCAACTCCCAGAATTCCTGAGCCAGCCATGCTGAGGGGAAAGGGAGAGGTTTCCAAGCTGAGCCATGCTGGCTCAGGAATTCTGGGAGTTGAAGTCCACGAGTCATAAAAGAGCCAAGGTTGCCTACCCCTGGGCTAGACAGTCACTTGTCTGAGATGGTATAGGTTCTCCTGCTTGAGTGGGGGGCTGGACTAGAAGACCTCCAAGGTCCCTTCCAACTCTATTCGACTGGTCACAAACTGACCATGTCCAATTTATCTTTTTTCTGACAGTCGTTAGGGAAATGAATCCAGTGTTCGCAATGGGTATTTTTTCTGTCAGAAACCAAAGGTAAATGCTGGTTTTTGTCAAAACAAAAAAAAAACAAAACAAAAAAAAAAACAAAGCCACTGTAATGCCGGCTAGTTGCTGAGCACCAGAAATGCAATTATGCGACTGCAGTGTGTGCATGCACACGCGTGTGCAGCTGTTGGAACTTGGAATCCAGATCGTAAGTAACTCAGGGGAGGTGTGCTGCAACTATGAATAGCCACTAAGGGACTGATTGTAGGTCAAGGATTCCCTGTACACATATTTATTGCCTTTATTTTTTTTTATAAAGGATGCAGGTTGAGCTAAATCAGAGGTGGGGAACCATGGCCCCTTGATGACTTGTGGGACTTCAACTCCCAGAATACCTGAGCCAGAATTCTGGGAGTTGAAGTCCACAAGTCATGAAACGGGCTTTGTTCCTCACCCAATCGGAATGGAGTAAATTAGCTTGACTGTCCACAAAGACTTTGAAAAACAACATACTTGCTTGTTATTTCAGGGGGGGACCGAATTCAAATTTGGACAGACACATCAGATTGTCTTTTAAATGAAAGTTTCGCTCTACCTCAGTGGTTCTCAACCTTTTTAATGCCGCGACCCCCAACCAGTCGTAAGTCGAGGACTACTCAACTGGTGCAGCACCGTTTGCAGAATGGGACTTTTGGCGGGCTCAGCAGGGCAGAGACAGCCTGGACCATTCCTATTGGCTTTTGAAAGCCAATAGAATTAGACTCTATTCAAGAGAATCTATTCTATTGGCTTTCAAAAGCCAATAGAATAAAAAGGAGTAGCACAGCTAAGGAAAAGGGGGAAAAAAATGGCGGACTGCGTTGTTTGGCGACCCCCGTGAAATGGTCGTTCGACCCCAAATGGGGTCCCGACCCACAGGTTGAGAACCACTGCTCTATCTCAACCCAGAATAACGACAGCCATGAAGAAACTATCAGCTGATGTCCAGCCTCGTCTGGATTCTCTCACCTCATCACTGTTGAGTTTCTTCGCTTTGAGCAACCTCTGTGTTTTCTCCTCATCCGAGCCGTCATCGCTGTCTGATGAATAAATCCGAGCACGCTCCTCTGGAAGAGAAAACACGCATTACACACCAAAAGGCCAAACAAATCTTAGAACTCCCAAGTGCAGCTCAGAAACTGGAGATTAAAGACCAGGTTGGAATAAGCAAGGATGGGGGTGGGGGGGGGTGGGGGTGGAGGGGAGCCTCGCTATGCAACCAAGCGTGGAAAATGTCCACCAAGCAAATGGGATCAACGATACTGATAAGCTTATTTGTACAAGCAAAAGCAAAGGCTGCGCTGTGCAAAAAAAGGAGAAAGAAGGGAAAGCAAACAGCCGGGGTGAAAAGAACTCGCAGGGTACAAATTAAAAGGATAAAACCCAGCTGCAGTGTTTGCAAAGGCAAACAGCTATTAAAGGAGCTGACAGATGACCAACTGAGCAACAGGCCATTAGATGATGATGATGATAATAATAATACTAGTAGTAGTAGTAATAATAATTGTTGCAATCCCAAAACAACTGGAGCACCACTTGAACACCACTGGCATTGACAAATTCGCTATTAGTCAATTGCAAAAGGCGGCCTTATTAGGAACTGCTTCCATCCTGCGACGATACCTGTAATGCATCAAACATCCACATCTGCCTATCCCAGGTCCTGGGTAAGGACTCGATAGGTAGACAAAATGCCAAATCCAGTCTGAACATCTGGCTGACTGTGCGATGATCGACAATAATAATAATAATAATAATAATAATAATAATAATAATAATAATAATAATAATAATAATAATAATAATAAAGTTGGAAGGGACCTTGGAGGTCATCTAGTCCAATCCCCTGCTCAGGCAGGAAACCCTATACCATTTTGGACAAATGGCTGTCCAGTTTCTTCTTAAAAACTTCCAGTATTGGAGCATTCACCACTTCTGGAGGCAGGTTGTTCCGCTGGTTAATTGTTCTAACTGTCAGGAAGTTTCTCCTCAGTTCCAGGTTGCTTCTCTCCTTGATTAGTTTCCACCTGTTGCTTCTTGTCCTGCCTTCCGGCGCTCTGGAGAATAGCTTGACTCCCTCTTCTTTGGGGCAGCCCCTGAGATATTGGAACACTGCTATCATGTCCTCCCTCGTCCTTCTCTTCGTTAAACTAGACATACCCAATTCCAGCAAACGTTCTTTGTATGTTTTAGCCTCCAGTCCCCTGATCATCTTTGTTGCTCTTCTCTGTACTCTTTCTAGAATCTCAACATCTTTTTTAAATCGTGGTGACCAAAGTTACCACGATGATAAGTTCAAAGCTTCCCCAACTAGGTGCCTCTCCCAAGGTACTGGACCAGCCATAGTGGTTTAGGTACTGGGAGTGACCGAGTGGAACCACTCCGGAGGAGAGCTGGAGAAGGCTACCTCGTATCCCGCCTTTGTATCTGTTCTTGATGGCGGCCAGGCTGATGGCCTCTTCTCCTTCTTCTTCCTCGTCGTAGCGGTCGGGCTCCAAGTAACTGGCACTCAGACCCCGTTGGTGTTGTTTCTCGCGCATCCTTCTCTGCTGGGATTCCCTACGAATAGACGCTCGCAGCCGTTCCTCCTCTTTCTGCAGGAGACAAAAACAGAAGTCAGAGTGGTTTTCTTGGGTTCTGTGCTGGGGGGGCTGAATCAGGACAAGCCCAGACGAAAAACACTCTCAACCAGGGTGGTCTCCGAACTGAAGCCCACCCTGGCTCACGAGGAGTAACCAGTGTGCAAATAAAATTCATTTTTCATTTATTTATCTCAGTTCTTCCGCTGATTGGCCCAAGATTACCTTTAAAGCCCTATATGGCTCAGGGCCAGGCTATTTGCGAGAACGCCTACTACCTCATAGTTCCCTTCGTCCGGTTAGATCCCACAGGCTGGGCCTCCTTCAGGCCCCGTCAGCCAAGCAGTGCCATTTGGCGGGGCCGCAGAGGGGGGCCTTCTCTGTGATGGCGCCCACGCTTTGGAATCAGCTCCCCCCGGAGATTAGGACTGCTCCCACCCTGTTGGTCTTCCGTAAGCTACTTAAGACCTGGCTTTTCTGGCAGGCCTGGGGTTTATAAAACCTGATCCCTGGATGATTGTTCTTGTGCTGTTTGTTTTGTTATGTTTTATGTGTTTTTTATTGTTAGTCGCCCAGAGTCCTCCGGGAGTGGGGCGGCTTATAAATTTTAAAAATAAAATAAAATAAAATAAGGTTCTCCAGTCAGCTTTCACGCCTAAAGGGGGACTAGAACTCTCCATCTTTAGATGACTGGCCCAGAGTCACCCAGCTGGCTTTCATGCCTAAGGCAGTAGTAGAACTCACCATCTCCTAGTTTCTAGGCCAGCACCTTAGCCCCAAAATAAAGGGAGAATCTACCTGGGCTGTGTTTCAGAACAGAAAGAGAACAGGCAAAGCAAGGAAACGGTGCATGGGGATACATCAATTGATGCATTTAGCAGATCTTTATTTTATTTTATTTTTGGAAGTTGCTCACTCAGCACGACACAAGGAGAATATTCAGCAAGGTATAGGGGTCTTCACCCTATGACAGCTTAGGTTAATTTAACACGGTGGAGGTCACGGATCAGCAGCAAGGCCAAGAAACTGATGACAAGCCAGCCTAAATTTACAGTCCGACTAGAGAAGAGAGGAGAGGGCAAGGGAGGTTTCAAGGATGGGGTTTGATTCATGCGTACCTTAATCATTTCTGTGCGTTGGGACTCTGGATCACGACCAGCCATTGGCAGAATACGGATTTTCTGCGTTTTTGAACATCTGTCTGCCAAGGAGAGGGTCATCTTTCTGTGTGTGGCGCTGTCTGTCGAATGTGGCCTGCGACAAATTAACCCAGTGGAAATACTTTGCTTAGGGAAGGAGCGTTTCGAAAGAAAAAACGGCAACACGCCATCAAATATTTGGGTGAATCGACTTACCAGTGCAAGACTGTCATTGTCACACTGCTTGGAGAAGCTTCCTGACAGTTAGAACAATTAACCAGTGGAACAACCTGCCTCCAGAAGCGGTGAATGCTCCAACACTGGAAGTTTTTAAGAAGAGACTGGACAGCCATTTGTCCGAAACGATATAGGGTTACCTGCCTGAGCAGGGGGTTGGACTAGATGGCCTCCAAAGTCCCTTCCAACTTTATTATTATTATTATTGTCGATCATCGCACAGTCAGCCAGATGTTCAGACTGGATTTGGCATTTTGTCTACCTATCGAGTCCTTACCCAGGACCTGGGATAGGCAGATATGGATGTTTGATGGTATTACAGGTATCGTCGCAGGATGGAAGCAGTTCCTAGTAAGGTCGCCTTTTGCAATTGACTAATAGCGAATTTGTCAATGCCGATGGTGTTCAAGTGGTGCTCTAGTTGTTTTGGGATTGCACCCAAGGAGCTTATGACTATTGGTACTACCCTTGCTTGCTTTTGCCACAGTCTTTCTATTTCTATTTGTAGGTTTTGTATTTTGTTATCTTCTCCAGTTCTTTCTCGTCTATTCTGCTGTCTCCAGGCACTGCCACATCCTCTATCCAGACTTTTTTGTCTTTCTTGTTGACAATTGTTAAGTCCAGAGTGTTATGTTGCAGGTGCTTGTCTGTTTGAATTCTGAAGTCCCAGAGCAGTTTAACTTTATCATTTTCTATGACTTTCTCTATTTTATGATCTTACCAGTTCTTGCTTATTATTATTATTATTATGGATCATTGCACAGTCAGCCTGGGTTTGGCATTTTGTCTACCTATCGAGTCCTTACCCAGGACCTGGGATAGGCAGATGTGGATGTTTGATGGTATTACAGATATCGTCGCAGGATGGAAGCAGTTCCTAATAAGGCCGCTTTTTGCAACTGACTAATAGCGAATTTGTCAATGCCAATTGTGTTCAAGTGATGCTCCGGTTGTTTGGGACTGCACCCAAGGAGCCTATGACTATTGGTACTACCCTTGCTTGCTTTTGCCACAGTCTTTCTATTTCTATTTGTAGGTCTTTGTATTTTGTTATCTTCTCCAGTTCTTTTTCGTCTATTCTGTTGTCTCCAGGCACTGCCACGTCCATTATCCAGACTTTTTTGTCTTTCTTATCGACAATTGTTAAGTCTGGGGTGTTATGTTGCAGGTGCTTGTCTGTTTGAATTCTGAAGTCCCAGAGCAGTTTAATTTTATCATTTTCTATGACTTTCTCTATTTTATGATCCCACCAGTTTTTGCTTACAGGCAAATGATATTTTTTGCAGATCAGCGTCATTGCCTCCACCCCTGCCCCACAGCATCATCTGCGCGTAACGGGGCGCAAGGGCGGAGTTTTGTCCCCATTGGCCAGCTACATGTCCTTGGCTCCACTGCTTCGTGTGGGCTGCGCCCAGGGGCAACTCTCCTCCAGGGCGGCTGCTGGTGAGGAGGGGGCTGTGGGAGGAGGCGGGGCTGGGGAGACGGTGCATGTGCCCACAGAGAGGGCTCCGAGTGCCACCTCTGGCACCCGTGCCATAGGTTCGCCACCACTGCCCTATACCATTTCAGACAAATGGCCGTCCAGTTCCTTCTTAAAAACTCCCAGTGTTGGAGCATTCACAGCTTCTGGAGGCAGGTTGTTCCACTGGTTAATTGTTCTCACTGTCAGGAAGTTTCTCCTCAGTTCTAGGTTGCTTCTCTCTTTGGTTAGTTTCAAGGACTATCTGTATCTGACTGCAGGTCAAGCACAACTCAGCCCTTCCTAAACTCTTCAACTCAATTCAATTCCCAGGCTTACCGGAAGGTCAACTTTGTCTTGAAGACGGCCTGTCCCTGAAGCCCAGTTCCTTGTCTGATGAAGAGATGGTTGTGGTCTCCCTGCAGGGGTGCTTTGTACACATCGAAGACTTCATTCCCCAAATGTAAGGACATGCTTCAAAAAAAAGGGGGGGGGGATAATTAATTGGTGCAATTCAAGACAATCCCAATTTTTCCCCACCTTCAATTAACGGGACCAAACAACTGAAACCAAGGGGAAAATACAAGGCAATCACACTCAAGAACCACCTTTTGTACCCTCCACCTCCCCAAACCCGTTTTCAGATTAGCAATTTTCGAGTCTCCGCTTACCTCCCGTCAGACCACTTGACAATCCGTGCGTTACTTTCTCGAATCTCGTTTCCTTCGTCATCTCGGCGAGTTCGCCAACGTATTGTGTTCTCTACCTTTCAGGGCACAAAATTAGACAAGAGGATGGCAGTCAAGGCACCAAGACCACGTCCATAAAGGCAGGCAGGCAGGCAAGCAAGTATGGGAAGAGGAACTGTTGTGATTCCTCGCCAGCCAATGGACCCGGCAGCTGAGTCTGAGGAATCAGAGGAGGAGGAGGGGCCTGGAGTGACATCAGAGTCAGAGGAAGGCTCTGAGGAGCTCCAAGACTTGCAGTCTGACTAGGAGCCTGGCCCCTCTACTCGCGTTCAGGCTGAGACACAGCTGTGCTGGGAGTCTGAATTGGGCAGTGATGAAGAACAGCTGGGACAAATCCCGGATGCACAAATGCGCAGGAAAGAGAAGCGAATAGGACAGAGGAATGCAATGGGGCGGCTCCAAAGGCAAAGGAGAAGGCATTAGGAAGCCATGCCTTGGCTGCATAATAAAAGGGAAGGTGTGGGAGGTGCTGGCTGTTGAAGGCAACCGTTCGTGTTGAGGATGGAGTTTCTGTGAACTGTGTTTGTTTGCCTTGGACACTGACTCAGGTCTGTGAATAATAAAAGGGGTTGGTTTTTATTCTTGCGGTTCCTGCCTGTTTCTTGGAAGAGGGGCTTCTCTTTGTGAGCATAACAAAGACTCACGTAGGTTGGGACAGAACAGGAATGCCCGGAGTTTGAAGCCCTACCTTCAGTTTTAATCTTGTCCTGCCTTCTTCATCAAGCATCTCCTCGTCTTCAAATTCATCCTCGTAATACTGAGGATCAAAAGGCCTGCGAGACAGGAAGAAGATTGCACGAATCGACTCAAAAGAGTTCTCACTCTAGGAGCAAATGACCAGGCTCAAAAGGGACTTATGACCATTTTTCACACTTATGACCGTTGCAGCCTCCTCATGGGTCCCATGGTCAAAATTCAGACGGTTGGCAACTGGTTTGTATTTATGACAGTTGCGGCGTTCCCGGGATGTCAAGTGATCCCCTTTTGCAACCTTCTGACAAGCCAAGCCAATGGGGGAAGCCGGATTCCCTTAACAACCGTGTCACTAATTTAACAACTGCACTGATTCGCGTAACAATCGTAGCAAGCAAAGAGGTAAAACGGGGCAAAATTCACTTAACAAAAGTCTCACTTAACAACAGAAATGTTCGGCTCGATTGTGGTCATAAGTCAAGGACTGCCTGCATTTTCCAAGCTTCAGCTTACGGTTTTCCCCTCCTTTACCTGGGTTCCACACTGAGGAAGTTGGGAAGCTTTACAAAATACAGGTCGTTTCCCAGATCCGTGTTGACTTTGGGGATTTCCACTTCTATGCGTGTTTCAGGGATAGCCTCGTCTTCCGGCTGCCCTTCATTCAAACCGTTCTCATCCTAATCAAGGGGGGGGGGGGTGAAAGAGCCCAAATCAGTACTGAACAGTCCATAGATTTGTGCCCAAGGTCTTCGTTCAGTCTCTTATTGGGAATACTGATGGATCTACATGGCGTGCTTAAAATACTGGCTGGAGGAAGGTAGTTAAGACTGGCTTCCTGTTAAATTAGGAAGTGAGGCAGCCACAAAGAATTATCTTGCTATCCTTTGCCTTGAAGGGGAGAGATGCTAACAGGGCATTATTGATTTGAGTAAAAGTCTCCTCGGAGTTCTGTTTTAATTCGTCTCTCTGTGCCGGAACCCTGATACCAACCCTACTTACAATAGGCTGCCCCGGCGTTGGTGGTTTGTCTTCTCCATCACTTCCTGAAGAGATATCGTCTGCTCCTCCAAACAAATCCATTGCGTCTCTGTTATCTTAAGCAGAAGGTGAAACAGAAGAATTAGGAGAACCGAAAAATACGGACAAATCTGGCAACAAGAAAGAGAGAGGTCTATGAAACCAGAGAGGGAGTCGTCAGAAGGAGGTTTAGAACAAGGTTCCATTGTCAGCACACCTACAAAACTACGTAAACAAAATGGGCAAAACAGTGATACACACACACACACACACCCCTTCACAAGGCCATCCTTTCTTTTAAAGGGCTCAGTGGGATATATATATATATGGCTTTGTGAGACAATCTCTTTGGAGCAGTGGTTCTCAACCTTTTTAATACCGCGACCCCCCAACCGGTCGTAAGTCAAGGACTACTCAACCGGTCGTAAGTCGAGGACTACTCAACTGGTGCAGCACCGTTTGCAGAATGGGACTTTTGGCGGGCTCAGCAGGGCAGAGACAGCCTGGACAATTCTATTGGTTTTTGAAAGCCAATAGAATTAGACTCTATTCAAGAGAGTCTATTCTATTGGCTTTCAAAAGCCAAGAGAATAAAAGGGAGGAGCACAGCTAAGGAAAAGGAGGAAAAAACATGGCGGACTGCGTTGTTTGGCGACCCCGTGAAACGGTCGTTCGACCCCAAATGGGGTCCCGACCCACAGGTTGAGAACCACTGTTTTGGAGGAAACCTGAGAAGGAAATAATTCACTGTTTTGAAAAAGATCTGTTAACACAATTTCTCTTTCCCTTCCAAACGAAGTAGCCATCTGGGCACACCTTACACATTATTTGCAACAACCTCCAGATTCAGAGAAATTGGAGCAGGGTGAAGGATCCAGTCCACAGTACAAATTGCGGCCAGTCCTGCTTTAAAGGAAGCCTTCGATGCTTGAACATCAAACCTCCTTTCAACGTCACCTATAGGGCCCCGTGAAACATTCCAGCCAGACCTGTGGCACTTGGGGGGGGGAAGGGGGGCTAAAAACATGCAGCTAAGCCTGGAGGTTTTGGGGCTAGGCCACTGGAGGAGGAGAAGAATCTCTTGCCATTGAAAATCAAAGCGCAATCCAAACAGAAGACGGGAAAGCCGCATTGCTTACTTTTTTGTCCTTCCGTATCGCTTTCCATTTCGGAATCAGATATAATTTGCTTCTTGCTTCTTGCTTGGGGAATATCATCCTCACTGTCGCTGCCTCTTGCTGATTCTGTGAAAGCAGATTTTTTTTTTCAGCTCTCCAGGGACACAACCCGGACCAAACTTTCCAGCTGGAGCCCTCAGATGCTAGAGATTACAATTTATCAGCATCCTCACCCCCCCATATTTGCACATAAACTAAAACTTAATTTGGGAGGGGGGCACATAAATAAAGCAGACCGAGAAGCAGGTCTGAAGGTCACGGATCTTTTTGCCATGCTCATCTCTGAGAAAAACTGCTGGCCAGTTTTGCTTAACCAAAGTCTGTCATGCCGTGTACGGTGGCAAAGGGTGACGTGATTTACCTAGGACAGTGATGGCGAACCATTTAGAGACCAAGTGCCCCAAAACCATCCCCCCCACCCCCGTCCCCGCTCCACCCTGCCTGCTGGGCCACCCACCATCTCCACGGCCCGCCACAGATCACAGCAGCGCCATGGCGACCACACCCTCCGCCCGTGCCCTGCAGCATTATTTGCGCGCGACGGGGCGCAAGGGCGGAATCTTGTCCCCACAGCCCGGCTACCATGTCCTTGGCTGGGCTGCTTCGTGCGGGCCGCGCCCGGGGGCGATTCTCCTCCGGGGGGCTACTGGTGAGGAGGGGGCCATGGGAGGAGCCGGGGCTGGGGCAAGGGTGCATGTGCCCACAGAAAGGGCTCCGAGTACCGCCTCTAGCATGTGTGCCATAGGTTCGCCACCACTAACCTAGGACAAACATGCCCGCATCGTCAACAGTTCATTTTATGTATCTATGCAATTTAAAGGCCACCCAACTCCACGAGACTCTGGATGGCTTCTAACCCCATTAAAAAGCAGAAAATAATTTAAAAAGATAAAGCAAAAATAAAAGCTCAGACGAGAATGAGCCGAGGTGGCGCAGCAGTTAGAGTGCAGTCCTGCAGGCCACTTTAGCTGACTGTGTTCAGCAGGTCAGCGGTTCAAATCTCACCGGCTCAAGATTGACTCAGCCTGCCATCCTTCCGGGGTAGGTAAAATGAGGACCCAGATTGTTGGGGGCAATGTAAATATATATATATATATATATATATATATATATATATATATATATATATATATATATATATATATATATACACACATTGCTTACTGGTGTACACCGCTTAGAGAGTGCTTGCACTTAAAGCGGTATATGAGTCTCATAAATAAATAAATAAATAAATAAATAAATAAATAAATAAACTTTAAGAGATAAGATTCTTCTGGGTCTCAGCTCAACTTAATACACGCTTTTCCAAGCTCAACAACTTTTAAGCTGTGAGGGCTTCAATTCCCAGCCAAGTTCGCTGGGGAATTGTGGAAGTTGAGGTCCTCAGAGCTTAAAAGTTGCTGAAGTTAAGAAACACTGCCCTAATCCAAGGCTTGGGGGAACAGCTACATTTTTTTTTTTTTTTTGGCATCATTTTGAGCATAATGAAGATTAACAGAGCAACCGATGCACCCCTTTGGATTTGCTTAGCTAAAACTTCCATCGTTCCAAAACAGCGTGGTTAGAAATTATGGGAGGTGAGGGAAACCATCTTTCACAGGGTCAACAAAGAAAGCCAACATCTATATATGGTTGGAAAAGATGACTAAAGTACAGATAGAATTTAAACCAGAATTGTTTTTGCTAGGAATACTAAGAGCTAAGTATGAGAAGGAGAACGAGTATTTAATCCTGCATATATTGACAGCAGTGAGTAGCATTTGCCCAATATTGGAAAAATGAAAACCTACCTCCTGAAGAGATAATTAAGAAAATTTTAGAATGTGTAGAAATGGATAGATTAGCCTTAGAGATTAAAGAGAAAGAAGACTGTTTACTTTAAAACATGAGATAATTTCTATCAATGGTTAGTAAAACGAAATAGTGAGAAAGGATTGTGATATTTAATGGCGAATATATTTTACTAAGATGAAGGATATGTATTGCTTAACTGATATTATTCATGACTATTGTTTTTTATATTCACTATAGCTATTTACTATTATATTAATTATTGTTATTGAACATATGAATGAGCCAAGGTGGCGCAGCAGTTAGAGTGCAGTCCTGTAGGCCACTTTAGCTGACTGTGTTCAGCAGGTCAGCGGTTCAAATCTCACCGGCTCAAGGTTGACTCAGCCTTCCATCCTTCCGGGGTAGGTAAAATGAGGACCCAGATTGTTGGGGGCAATGTAAATATATATATACATTGCTTACTGGTGTACACCGCTTAGAGAGTGCTTGCACTTAAAGCGGCATATAAGTCTCATAAATAAATAAATATGTACCCGGACAATAGTCTGTTTGCTAAAGCGTGAAAATGTTAATGGGGGCTAATCCCATCGTTGTCCCCATTCCCATCCCCGTTTTAACCCCAACCCTGTCCCCTACCCCGAATCCCAACTCCCATACCGATCCCACCCCTTTCTTAACCTTATAAATAAAACTCTCTATAAAAAAAAACAAAGAAAGCCAACAAGACTAAGTCATAAATAGACCTCGCACCTCTCCATGAATCCTCAACTCTTTTACCTGATTTGTGCTCGCGTTCCTCCTCCTCATCCTCGGACAAATGGCGCTCTTCATCGTCTGAATGTTGAGGCCTCTCGTCGTCCGAATTCGGAAGCTTCTCCTCTTCCGAGCGTGCCACCCGTTCCTCCTCGTCCTCCGAGTTCTGCATGTTTTCTTCATCGGAATTCCGCGGCCTTTCCTCATCCTCCGAGTTCTGAAGCTTCTCCTCGTCAGAAACCTGGGGTCTCTCCTCGTCATCATCGGACTGGTCCAGCCTCTCCTTGCTGTCAGAGATCTGTGCCCTCTCCTCATCGTCCGAGTTTTTCTCTTCGTCGTCGGAATGCTGAATCTGCTCCTCGTCGTCTGAATTCTGGAGCTTCTCGTCCTCGTCGGACTGATCACTTTTATCCTCTCTATCCCATTTCTCGTCCTCCGAATGGACTTTCTCGGACCCTTCAGCCTCGGAGCGATGGCTACCATCATCCGATCTGCGGTCCTCCTCGTCTTCCTCGTCGTGCGGAGGTTCTGAGCCGCTGTGCTGCTCAATGTCCGACTGGTCCTCGTTGTCCTCGTGTTCGGAGTGCGCCGAGGCTTCAGAAGGATTGTAGGATCGTTCAGACTGGTTGTCGCTGCCGCTGTGGTGAGAAACACCCTCGTCCTCGCTGTCTTCCCCGAATAACTCTTTGTTGCTGGGTTTTAACGCATCGTCCTCTCTGTCGCTCTCGCTGCCGGAAACGTTGCTAACAGAGCCGGTGTTCTCCCGGTCCGAATCTGAGTCAGATCCAGAATCAGAGTCTAGCCAAAAGACAGAGAAAACCACAGTATTAATCAGAGAACAAGGATCAGATTTCTTCCAAAGCAAACGTAACAACACCACTTTGCAATTACTGCCTTCCTTCTGCCTGAAAGAAAGCATACTCTATTCCAGCGGTTCTCAACCTGTGGGTCGTGACCCCATTTGGGGTCGAACGACCATTTCACGGGGGTCGCCAAACAATGCGATCCGCCGTTTTTTTGTCAGCCGGCGCAGGGGGCGGTGCTGCGCATGCGCGCCGCACAGGGGGCGGTGCATGGGGGCGGCACCGCGCATGCGCGCCGCGCATGGGACGGCACCGCGCATGCATGCCATGCATGGGGCGGCACCGCGCATGCACGCCGCGCACAGGGCGGCACCACATGCGCGCCACGCATGGGGTGCCGCGCATGCGCACCGCGCACCGCCGAGCATGCGCGCCGCGCACAGGGCGCCGCCGAGCATGCGCACCGCGCACAGGGCGCCGCCGAGCATGCGCACCACGCACGGGGGCGCCGCCCGAGCATGCGTGCCGCACACAGGGGGCGGACTGCGCATGCACGCCGCGACGGCACCGCGCATGTGTGCTGCGCGCGGGGCAGCACTGCGCATGCGCACCGCACATGGGGCGGTGCATGGGGCAGCCCACGCATGCACACTGCGCACGGGGCGGTGCCGCGCATGCGTGCCGCTCAGGGGGCGGTGCCGTGCATGCTGCCACCTGCTTATGTCCGGGGTCGCCATATAAAAAGGTTGAGAACCACTGCTCTATTCTCAGAAGGGGGAAAAATATTAATAGAGAAAATTAATATTAAATGATGCCAGGATGTGTTTCAGCACAGTACAGGTAGTCCTCGACTTGTAACATTTCATTTAGTGACCATCCAAAGCTACAATGGCACTGAAAAAAAGTGACGTATGACCGTTCTTTACACTTGTGACCACTGCAGCATCCCCGTGGGCACATGGTCAAAATTCAGATGCTTGGCGATTGACTCATATTTACAACGGATGCAATGTCCCAGGGTCATGTGATCTGGACAAACCAGTTTCAGTTAACAACCGTATTACTAATTTACCAACTGCAGTGATTCACTTTACAACTGCGGCCAGAAAAGTGGTAAAATGGGGCAAAACTCATTTAGCAAATGTTTTGCTTAGCAAAAGAAATTTTGGGCCCAGTGGCGGTCGTAAGTCGAGGACCTCCTGTAGAAAGAAACGGAACCAAGGTCAAAGGAGAGGGGTTACTAGATATCTGAACAGGCAAAGGAGGAAACGGACAACTGGAAAAGGCCACAAATGTGGGGGGAAACCTGCAAGAAATGTATTTCCCATGTGCCTACTACACCCTCCCAGCCCCAGAAAGGCTGGTTTCACAATTGCAGTATTTTCCCAATAAAACTTTCCAACGTTATACCAAATTTTATTATTTTTATTCTGCCTTTTTTTAATAATATAACTCAAGAAGGAGCACATGCCTAATACTGTTGCCTGCTAACCAGAACCCTGAAAGGTGGGTTAGTAAGGCCCTCTGCACATGCTCAGAGGAAGGAAGGAAGGAAGGAAACAGAAGCGGTGAATGCTCCAACACTGGAAGTTTTTAAGAGGAGACTGGACAGCCATTTGTCTGAAATGGTATAGGGTTTCCTGCCTGAGCAGGGGGGCTCGACTAGATGATCTCCAAGGTCCCTTCCAACTTTATTATCATTATTATTATCATTATTAGCAAGCAAGCCCCGGTGCACGTCAAGAGAAGCCCGAACAATTCCCGAGCGGCGTTTCCAAATTGGGGAGGGCTCCCGCGCATGCGCGACCTGCTCCCTCGCCCCACTCCCCCCCACACACACCTTTTTGCTCCGGTTCCGTGTCGGCGTCGCTCCCGAAGAGCTCCTCCATGTCCGCCATGTCGAGGGAAGCCCAATTCCCAGGCCAGAACCGCGGAGTCAACGCTGGGCGATCCCGGAAGTGGCGCTGCTTGGTGACGTCACCGGGCCGCGACCAGTCCCGTGAGCGGAAGAGGCGGGCTTTACCCGCAGCGATTTATTCTCCCTCGCTGTAATTCCTGCAGGACGTTCCGCAATGCTTTTCGTCTTGGTCTTAAAGATGGACGTGGGGATTCGTGTTTCCATGAGAGGGGTTAAAAAAGGCGGTCGGTGGCTTTGCCAGCCTGCCACTATTTTAGGGATGGACCTCTTGACTTTTAATATATCTATGGCAAAACGTTCCTCGTTGGGATAAGCGGCCAATAGGAAGTCGTTTTCCATAGAGATAAATTGATAGACTCACCCAAGTAGTGTTGAAATATAAAATAAGCATCCGTAATTAACTTTTTTTTTCCCTTCACGCTAGCTTGAACGTGACGGACTCAATAAAAAGAAAAGGAGTTTTAGCTCAGCTGTTAATGGGATAACAGGCACAAATTCAATACACTAAACTTCATGAAATCTCTTTGTACGTTGTCCATTGGTCATTTGCATGGGAAAACCAATCTCTCCCATTTCTCCAGTACTTTATGAATCTTAGGGTGACCCAACTTTTTTACAATGAAAAGGAGGACACAAATAAATTGAAGAAAAAAATATCGTAAATAAAAGAAACATTTTTTTTCATTGCAACAATAATACAGACAATTTGCATGTTTAAAGTTTGCCAGCCGGGTGTTTTGGAGCACTCAGCAGCAATTCCTATTGGCTTTCGAAAGCCAATAGTGGGAGTAGCACAGCTCATGCAAAAGTTGAAAAAAAACATCAAAAAAAGGTCCTGGAACGCTGTTCTGAGCGTTCTATGAAGGAGAAAAAAGCCTTGCAGATTAGTCTTCAAATATCAAAAATGAGGACATGAAGGACACTTTTTGAGGGAGGATAGGATTTTCTAAAGGAGGACGGTTGGTCACCTTATAAAATCTATTGGCGATGTCCATTTTGCTCTCCCAGTTCATGGAGACCTAACCTAACCCTAAGTGGGTTTGTCCCCCAATGAGATTTTCCCATGTATTTTACCAGGAAACATAGGGTGGACTCCAAAACTCAACACCTTCCTAAACATATCAATGTGTTATGAATCCATTGGCAATGTCCATTTTGCTCTCCCAGTTCATGGGGACCTAACACTAACCCTAAGTGGGTTTTCCCCCTATATTTTACTAGGAAATAAAGATAGGGCAGGCTCCCAAACTCAGCACCTTCCTAAGTATACTGATGCACTATGAATCCATTGATGTCCATTTTGCTGTCTGAAAGATTCAGGAGCATGACTGAAATCATATTAGGCATGTGGAAGTCAAATAGGCTGTTCCCAGGATCCGAGTATGATACGTTAACTCTATATCAGGTAGAAACCAAGACACATTGAAGGGCAAGAAAATGGAATGTTCTCCGGTTTCAGAAATTGCACACTAATATCAAGGACATATACTATCATGCAGTAAAATTATCTCTCATGTTTGGTTATGTCAGCAAAGCACCAGAAATTCAAAAAATAAAACTACTCAAGCACACATAATGCCATGAAGGAGACTTGAACACAAGTTCAAGATTGCAAAAGTTTTTTTTTTTAAAAAAAAAGTTGCATCCAGGGATGGACATGCTCAACTCTCTCTCTCTCTCTCTCTCTCTCTCTCTCTCTCTCTCTATCTATATATATATATATATATATATATATATATATATATATATATATATATATATAACTGTCCTTCAAAATGTTTTTGGAAACAGAGATCTGACATTATATAAAGCTGGTGCTTCCTCTGTGAACCCTATTTTATATACAAAATGGGTACAACTGCCCTTATTTTATGTTACTGCTGCTATTTCATTGCCTTCATCCTCCTTTTCCCAAGGCCAGCCTGATGGGCTATTATGCTATAGAATGGCCACACAGTATGAAATTGTCAAGCTGCAAATCAGCAGCAGGGACTTTTTTAGCGGTCGTTGTAGTGCAAGACAACATTTTACAGTGGTAGCCAAGCTTGTGAAAGCATCTCTTTAATTCCAACTGTTGCAAGGATTTTTTAAAAAAAGACACGTTTATCATTTTCAAACATTTTTTTATCATTTAAAAACATTTTTTATCATTTGAAGTTGAACCAGGGGTCCCCAAAGAACAAGTTGGAACTGTAGTAAGTTCAAGAAATATACGGTTTTTGTTTTTTTTTTGACAAGCGGAAATAGGAACGAGAAACACAGTGGGATTCCTAATTTATAGCTTTCCCATAAACTTGATTTGGACATAACGGTAAGCATTTGCTGGTTAGCAAGCGAGAGTTACAGAGCAGCACTTCCTATTATGCTTGTTCTCGAATAAACCTTAAATTTTTAAAATCCCGAACTCGCCTTTTGCTGCAAATGAGTCCAGGGTGTGCCATATCATTATTTTAAAATGAAGGATTCTCCTTGCATACTCAGTGGAGATAATGCCTATTATGGGATGGCTCCAAGAGAGCTTTGCCACGTTAGATCCTTTCCAACAGCCATCAATGTGCTTTATCATGGAGAATGTCCTAAGATGCCACAACATGACCAAAGCATTTGGGGAAATTAAAATCTGAATTCCCAACAAAGCTTTGGATTAATGCTCAGCTAGGGGTGACAGGACATGGTGGGAATTCAGAAAGGATACCTTTCTCTGACCCAGCAGCCTAGCCGCAGGCACACATCAGGGTGTGCTGCAATAGTGTCTCAGATTGTGGCTGGCTGGAATGTGTGAAATTTGTAGGAAATCTGAGTCACAAGATATTTTCAACCCACAAACAGGGCTTATTAAGCACTGATGGACCAGCATGTTTGAGTTACAGCTTAGCAGCCAGGGTTTGATATGCTGCAATTTATATATACAAATATATTTTCTCTCTCTTTCTCTCTCTGCCTCTCTCATGCACATATTTAAATACCAAAGTAGCAGAACCCAATGCAAAGCTGATGAAGTAGGAAAAAAAAAAATCTATAAATACATACAGTTTGGACATGATAGAGCATCCAAATACATACAGTCTGGACATGACAGAACAAAATGAGGACATACCCTGTTCTGCAAATTCACAGAGAAATAAGCTGCCCAGGTGGGGAAGGTTTAAGGCACCCAGCACCAATTTTGTCAACTGAGCTCACCACGAAGAGGGAAAATAAGCAGCAACCGAAGCACCCTTAAATCTTCTTACAGCAAAAAAAATAATTGCTGTCTTCAGAAAAGCATTTCGAGTGGGCCAGAATGGGGGAACGAAAGAAATATTACCGACGTGTATCACTGGTAGTTGAAATCACCATTTCCCTTTGTTTTTCGAAAGAACTTCCCTCCATGACACACACAAAAACATGGGTTTGAGGCCTCCGTGCTTATCTTATCTAATTTCTATCGGATTAGTTTCTCTCAGGGAATTGACACTATTTGCCCCCTTAAACAGTAGCTGTTGACTCTGCAGCTTCCGTGCCACCCATGTTAGAGTTGGCATTAATCTATCCTTGGGTCCCAACTCCTGAAACATAAAGGAATCAGCCTTGGGACAGACGGGGCTGGCAGATTTTCACATCGTGTATTGGACACCAGCACTAGTAATATAACTTTATCAAATATATATATAGAGAGAAAGATATATATATATATATATATATATTTATATATATATTTACACGCTCATCCATATGAACAAAAAGAGGAACGCTGATTCCAGTCTTTTCCCTTCTATGCAAGTAAGAAAAAAATCTTGGGGTTGCCGAATCCCAGGGGAAGTGGGGCGCCCTTCACCGAGGTCCAGAATCTCTCCTCTTTTGTGCTTCTGACGGCCAGGAGGGTTCATGGCTGGTCACCTTCCACTCTTCGCTTGCGAACTGTCCAAAGGAGGAGGAGACGGAGCAGAGGGACAAAAAAGAGTAAAGCGAGAGGTAACTTTGGTGAGAACTCATCATGTTCCGTTCATCAGAAGGGAGGGATCACAGGTAGTCCTCAAACTTGTAACCATTCATTTAGCAAAGGTTTGAAGTTACACTGAAAAAGCAGCCTACTACCTATCCTTGCGCTTACGACGGCTGCAGCGTTCCCAAGGCCACATCATTGAAATATGGGAGCTTGGCAACCAGTAGGTATTGGCCACGGGGTCCTGGGCTCTCGTGGTCGCCATCTGGATCCTTTCCAGCTGGTTTCCGACAAACGAAGTCCAAGAGGGAAGTTGGGTTTGCTTAATGACCGTGTGATTCACTTAACAACCACAGGGATTCGAGGTCATAAAAATGGGTGTGACTCACTTTTAACCATCCCCTTTTGCTTAGCAATGGAAATTCTGCTCCCAAATGGACTCATAATGTCGAGGACTGCTTGTAATCAAAACCAATGGGATATTTGGGGGGGGGAGGACTATACCCCAAAAGGACAAGGAAATGGATGGAGTTGGGACAAAGAAAACCAAGTTAGATTTAGTTCAGCTTTAAACAAAAACACCGTTAATGTTTAAACAAAAATACTGTTAATATTTAAAACCAACAAAAGCTCACAATGAATTCCTATTTCCCCTCTTCGCCATCATTAAATGTACCAAACCTTTACAGTGATTTGGGAGAACGGCACTGTACTATTAAGCCCCAGGAAAGCTCCTGCATCTGTACACTCTGCCACCCATGCTCCACAGCCCTGCCATGCCAAAACCACGACGCTAGGAGCAGCTGAAACCGCACCCTGAACAGGAGAGTTGTGCAGGAACAAACGACAGAAAAAAGCAGAAGGAAAAATGCATGCAAGGCTTGTGAGAGGGAAGCATGCAGACACACAATCAGGCGACCTTTTCAAGAGATCTTTCTCCCTTAGCGCTTAATACCAAGCGGACATTTGCAAGAACCCCTTCAGAAGCTTCAGGGCTGAAGAGATGCAAGGAGGTCGGCAGAGGTTTTTACTCTCAGGCGCCAGGCTAAAGGTGGAAGAAGAAAGGGGGGAAAAAAGAGCAAAGTACTAGAGAGATTCCACAGTCCTGGAATTTGGGAGATGCAGAGGGGAGAGGAGGAGAGCAGAACGGGTCTCAGAAGCTGATCATTAAATCCCAAACAAACAAAAAAATTTAGATTATTTTGCTTTCCAGTTCAGAACGGTTGTGTGGAATAAGTTCAGTGTCCTCACTCAGATTCGAACGAGATGGGCATGAAAAGCTGCAGGCCTGCAGGATGCCACTGCTATGGCCACAGCTGTGAGCCGTAATTCAATGCTCTCATCAAGCATGATTTTTCATGTCACCTGAACTAGGACACTAAAGGGAGTATTTTCGGAATGAATCTATAGGTCTATCTTGAGTTTTTCCAGAATGCACTGAAATAGATACCATGCTTAGCTTAAACTCTTGCTTAAAAGAGTGAAAAGACTCTGCATTTGCTAATTCATATTATCCATGGAGATTCTCAATCATCCAATCAGGGATGTCCCAAAGCTGCTTTTTTCAAAAGCCAACTGGATTTTTTTCCTTGAAAACATTTTGCTTCTCGTCCAAGAAGCTTCTTCAGATCTGAAATATTTTCAAGGAAATGACCAAGAAAGTCCAGTTGGCTTTTGCAAAAGTGCCTTTGGGACAAATTCATATTGGGATTATTAGTAACTAAACCAAGTCTCCACCTCGTTTTGGGTGGGAAACCTTGATTGCTTGATTGTATTTAAGAAGAATCAATGAAGAAGAAAGCCATTCGGGAAACTGATTTATTTATTTTTTTAAAAAATGTGTGTGGTTTATTATTGCTGACTCACTTGAGAAGAAGTTCTGTATCACCCTCATTGTTTATGGCGGGGTAGGCAACCTTGGCTCTTTTATGATTCGTGGACTTCAACTCCCAGAATTCCTGAGCCAGCATGACTCAGCTTGGAAATCTCTCCTTTCCCCTCAGCATGGCTGGCTCAGGAATTCTGGGAGTTGAAGTCCACCAGTCATGAAAGAGCCAAGGTTGCCTACCCCTGCACAAGGAGAACTCCAGATTGGGAAAACTAACAACGATGACAAAATTCCGTAGATTGTCCAAAATGCTGAGTCTTCCCCAGAAGAAATGGAATCTTTCCCAAATATGAAACAACCAATTTCCAGATGGATTTTTTATTGGGTTTTTCTTTTTCTTTTTCTGGGCTCTTGTTTGCATTTAGATGCATTTTCCTTTGTTGTGTTTTTTTTTTTGTTTTGTTTTTCAATAGCACAATAAAAATCATTGCAGGAAATTGGATACATGGGGTTATTTTTTTTAAATTAACACATAACGTCTCTTTTTCAAGGATCTGTATATCTTTAGCAATTATGTGTCCCTCACTGATGTATGGTGGGTGCATTGAATTCCTCTGCACGAGTCATAAAAGTCCACGAGTCATAAAAGAGCCAAGGTTGCCTACCCTGCCATAGACAATAGGCTCCGGATTTCAAGCCGGATCGACGGGAGAAGAGTAGGTGTGAACTTGGAACCCAGCCTGCAGAGCAGGTGCTCAATGGGACCTTCCCACCTCAACCAGAGGGGGAGCCAGAGAGGCTGCCAACGGCTGTCCTTTCATGCCACTTTCTCCAAAGTGGCTCCCTCTAGTGTCTATGGCAGTGAACAACGGGTTCTCTTTGTGGATTCTGCTTCCGGAAATCCATTCTGAGCTCCGGCAACAAAAAATTAGCTACCGGTTCTGCCGAAGTGGTGCGAACCAGCTGAATCCCACCACTGGTCTATGGAGATTCTCAATCGTTCAGGTCACGGTTGACCCAAAGGTGCTTTTTCAGGAGGCAACTGAACTTTTTTCTTTTTCCTTGAAGACGTTTCGCTTCTCGTCCAAGAAGCTTCTTCAATTCTGACTGATATAAATCCTTCCATCACCCACCATCCAGTCAGAGCTGAAGAAGCTTCCTGGATGAGAAGCGAAACTTCTTTAAAGAAAAAACAAGAAAGTCCAATGGCCTCATGAAAAAAAGCACCTTTGGGGCTCTCGTCCTTCTTCCTTTTGTGGCACAGCTTATCTTACCTAAATCGTTGTTCTTTGTAATCGCGGCTGCTGCTCTGGTGCGGGGTCCTTGCTGCATGAAGTGATACCCAAACTTAAGGATCTTGGTGTTTTCCTCAAGCATCTTGGCTATCTCCATTTCTACCGGGGTCCCGAGCTGCTGCCTCTGTCAGAAATCATCCAAGGTAGAAATCAACAAATGCTGGTTTGTTACAAGAGAGTTGTTTGAAGCTGACGGGATGCATCAGTAAAAGCAATGTCAGGATTGGGAGATCCTTTTTCCTGGGCTCAAGCAAACTGCATGGCTTCCATGGCAAAGAGTTCTCATTGCCAAGGGCAAAATGAGTCATCTTTTAAGGTTAGGAACCATGACATATTAAGCTCAAAGACCTGCACCCCAAGCCGAGTCGTAGTATAGTTTGTTTGATTTGGGCTTGGAGGACTGTGTGGGCCCAACCAGTATGGTTCATATTAGGTGGAAAAACACTCAAAAAAGTGCTTTGGAGCATTCAGAACTTCAAGGGCAGGCAGCATCTCATTAAAGCGGCTGTATCTTTTTGCAGTGTTACGTTGGGGGAACCACCGCGGACTCACTAAAGCAGCCTTGTCCTTAACATGTTTCTGAAAAAGTTGGAAAAGAGAGGGGCTAGTGCAGGGGTAGGCAACCTTGGCTCTTTTATGACTTGTGGACTTCAACTCCCAGAATTCCTGAGCCAGCCATGCTGAGGAGATAGAGAGAGGTTTCCAAGCTGAGCCATGCTGGCTCAGGAATTCTGGGAGTTGAAGTCCATGAGTCATAAAAGAGCCAAGGTTGCCCACCCCTGGGCTAGTGGCTTGGATGGCCATTGTAACGTCAGAGAAGCAATATTGTGTTCTCTGAACACATCAAAGAAGGCTACACAAAGATTGACTTAGGAAGGCAGTCAGGCAAGATGGCTGATCAGTGGGAATCTCCTAGGCTGGAAGCCCTACGACTCTTGTAGTAAGGAGGAAACACGCTGGCCATACGAGAGAAGAGGGGGAGAGGGGCACCAGGCATCTACTTTACCCTCTACACCCCATTAAATCACTTCAGGATTCTTTGGGCTTCTTCGTTTGAAACTTGGCACAATTCCTACATCTGCCAAACCACAGCTGACCCAAAACCCTTTGCCCAAACTTCCAGAACATTTTGGATTGGAGACAAAGTCCACTTCCTAGCTCCTTCCCATTCCAACAACAACGAAGCCTTGAAGGAAAGAGACTTCCCCTTTTTTTTAGTAGACTGGTGAACAGCACCTTGCTTGTGTTTCCTAAGCACTTCTCCTGCAACAAGGCAGGAAAACAGCTCTCAAAAAATAGGCATCTTCCGGCTTCAGTTTTAAAGCAAGGCTTTGTTGGCCCACCTTTTAGACCCCTCTTTATGTAAGAAAGACATATAGATGTTACCTGGTTATCAATTTTGATCTCTGTCAAAGTTTCATTCTCTTTCACTGCCTCTACTAAGGCCAGAATGCCTGCGCCGGTGATGAAGTTTGACTCAACATTGAGGCTGTTCAGAGTCTGGTTCACTCGCAACATGTCTGCAAAAGCCTCGAGAGACAAAAAAGCAACAATGAAGTCCACACTGGACTGGATTCACAGCAGAAAACACCCATGCTTCTTTACATACTGCATAGCAAAGGAGAGAAAGAAGTTGCCCGTAGCTGGCATCTCTCAAAGCTAAAACTGCGATATCTGGGGCTGTCCTGTATTTGCAATGTCTCTCTTCCTGGTGCCTTCAAACGTTACATCAATGGAGAGTCTCAATCATCCAGGTCATGGTGGTCCCTAAGGCGCTTTCCCCAAAAGGCAACTGGATTGTCTTCTTGTTGTTTTTTCCTTCCCTCGAAAACATTTTGCTTCTCATGCAAGAAGCTTCTTTAGTTATGCTGAAGAAGAACCAAACTGAAGAAGCTTCTTGGATGAGAAGCAAAAGGTTTTCAAGAAAAGGAAACAACAACAACAAGACAATCCAGTTGCCTTTTGGGACTTCAAACATTGCCTTGTTTTCCTGAATGGCCCTGCTTTACAGAATTGGATAATAATAATAACAATAACAATAACAATAACAATAACAATAACAATAACAATAATAATAATAATAATAATAATAATAATAATAAGAAGAAGAAGAAGAAGAAGAAGAAGAAGAAGAAGAAGAAGAAGAAGAAGAAGAAGAAGAAGAAGAAGTAGTAGTAGTAGTAGTAGTAGTAGTAGTAGTAGTAGTAGTTGGAAGGGACCTTGGAGGTCATCAAGTCCAACACCCTGCTCAAGCAGGAAACCCTATACCATTTCACACAAAGGCTGTCCAGTCTCTTCTTAAAAACCTCCGGTGACAGAGCATTCACCGCTTCTGGAGGCAGGTTGTTCCACTGGTTAATTGTTCTAACTGTCAGGAAGTTTCTCCTTAGTTCTAGGTTGCTTCTCTCCTTGATTAGTTTCCATCCGTTGATTCTTGTCCTGCCTTCAGGTGCTTTGGAGAATAGCTTGACTCCCTCTTCTTTGTGGCAGCCCCTGAGATACTGGAACACTGCTATCCTGTCCCCCCTCGTCCTTCTCTTCATAAAACTAGACATACCCAATTCCAGCAACTGTTCCTTATATGTTTTAACCTCCAGTCCCCTAATCATCTTTGTTGCTCTTCTCTGTACTCTTTCTAGAGTCTCAACATCTTTTTTACATTGTGGTGACCACCGTGGCTTGGTGATACATTACTAACTTGCCTCTTAAGTTTAAATATTAGTCTGAAATTAACCAAATAGCTTTGTCCAAGCCAAACAAAAGTCAGACTTTCACATTCGTGACAACTCCTCAACTTGAGGGATCTGACCAATGGGAGAAAGCTTAAGCAGATTTGGCCAGCCTCTTCTTAAGGACCAATCACAGAACTGGCTCATTACAGTACCTTGGACCACATGCTGGGATCTCCTCCTGATCGGATCTGAACCACCAGTTACAGTTGACTCCCCAAGGAATCCAACACCCACAACAGTGTTAAGTGTTTAAACCAGGGGTCTTCAAACTTGGCAACTTTAAAACTTGTGGACTTCAACTCCCAGAATTCCTCAGCCAGCAAGGGCTGGCTGAGGAATTCTGGGAGTTGAAGTCCACAAGTTTTAAAGTTGCCAAGTTTGAAGACCCCTGGTTTAAATAGACATAAACAACTGTTGAGTGGGCTGGACCTTTCTCTCCCATCTCCAATGATCTCATATAAAGACATAGTTGTGAGTGCCAAATTTGCCTCTTTGCTTACAACGGCAACGGGGTCATTGCTCCGAGTGGCTGCAAGGCTGAAGCTCTTCACGTAGGTGTTCGTTTCCAGGGCTTTGGCAAATTCTTTTAGGGTTGGAATGGGAATGTTCTGGAAGTCAAGCAAAAAGGCAAGCTTGTGAATATTGACTGAAACTCTTATTACAGTAAAAGGTGCTGTTTACTTTTCTAAATGGTGCAAAGAATCTGTGTATTTACAGCTTCCAATATTCTCTTCCAACACATGACAGCAGAGGACCAGCCTAGCAACTATGGCCCCATTATCACCCTCATAAATTTCAATTCTATGAATTCTATAATTATGATGCTCTGCCCTAAAAGGAATATTTTACTCCAGGGGTTCCCAGCCGGGGGGTATTCGCATCCCCTGGGGGTGAGACAATATTCCAGGGGGCGTGGAAACTTGGATTTAGTTTCAAAATTATAGCGTATGTCAGGGGTCTTCAAACTCGGCCCTTTTATGACTCATGGACTTCAACTCCCAGAATTCCTCAGCCAGCGTGCCTGGCTGAGGAATTCTGGGAGTTGGTCCATGAGTCATAAAAGGGTCGAGTTTGAAGACCCCTGGTGTATATGCATATATTCACATCTGCATATATTTTGTAAGGGGTGCGAGAATATATCAGAAGCCTTATAGGCGTGCGGGCTATAAAAAAGGTTGAGAACGGCTGTTTTATTCATTCTACTCAATTCTTACCTTGATATTGTTCAGGTTTATTTCAACAAGGCGAGGATCGTTATTTTTAACCCTCTGCAAACAGTCTTCCACATTGGTGGGATTTGGCGGTTCATCAAAGAGTGGGACTATCTTTTCACCTTTAACTACATCTGAATTAAGAGGTAAAAAAAAACATGCATTACAGACACTCATTATATATTTTCGTTACAAGTAAAGTCCCTGCTAAATCAAATCTTCGTACAACTAATACAGAATGGGACTTTTTAAAGTAGTATATGACCCATATTGTTCACGCTCACGCATCGCTGCATTATTACCGTACCAACTCAGAAAGTGAAGAGCAAGTTAATGAATTATTTTAAAAGATAATACATTTCTTTCAGGGTAACCAATTTCTAAATCGCATCCTGGGACAGATTGTCAATAGTTAAGTCAACGGGACTTCTCCAAACGCTGACATCCAATTTTTAAATAGGCAGTAAAGGGAATTTAATTAAGTTTACGGAGGTAACCCTATGAAACATATTTAATTAACGGAGTTTTCATTCAAATTTAATTTAATCAGACACTTGTTTTGTGCGTCTGCTTAGGCTGGCCCCACCTATGTGTTGAGAGCGCATTGACCCGCTCAACAAAAAGCTGCACTCTTCATCTTCAGATTTTCAAAGTGGACACTCACTTGTGAAGCTCTCATTGCCAACACCGTTGCTGCTTCCCACAATATCGTGAAACTGAGAGCTGCTTATCAAGTTGTGCATTCCTAAGATGGCTGGAATTAAAGAAAAGAGGGTGGGGAAGGCATAAATCTTTATTGCACTTTATCCTTTCACTTTAAACAAGGCACAAAGGGGCAATCAAACTTCCCGTTTCCCATGATTACTTCTGCTAGTGGTGAGAAAGGAAAAGGGAAAGAGAAGAGGGTGACTGCAGCCAAGAAATTAAAAGACGCTGGCTCCTGGGGAGAAAAGCTATGGCAAATCTAGACAGCATATTCAAAAGCAGAGACGTCACCCTGCCAACAAAAGTACGTACAGTCAAGGCCATGATTTTCCCAGTTGCAATGTATGGCTGTGAAAGTTGGAGGATAAGAAAGGCTGAGCGCCAAAGAATTGAGGCCTTTAAACTATGGTGCTGGAGAAGACTCCTGCGAGTCCCCTGGACTGCAAGGCGAGCAAACTGGTTAGTCCCGGAGGAGATCAACCCTGACTGCTCTTTAGAAGGCCAGATCCTGAAGTTGAAACTCAAGGACTTTGGCCACCTAATGAGAAGGAAGGACTCACTGGAGAAGGGCCTAATGCTGGGAAAGATGGAGGACAATAGAAGAAGGGGACGACAGAGAACGAGGTGGCTGGATGGAGTCCCTGAAGCAGTAGGCGTGAGCTTCAATGGACTCCAGAAGATGGTAGAGGACAGGAAGGTCTGGAGGAACGTTGTCCATGGGGTCGCGATGGGTCGGACATGACTTCGCAACTAACAACAACAAGCAGCAAAATGGACAGATCCCGTCAAGAATATTTATATACCGGCATTTGTATCCTCGATAAGCAAAACAATTAAGCAACTCACTCCTCTGCTCCGAACAAAAGCCCCCTCCCACTGTAAGACATTCACAAATCTGACAGACCTGCAAGATCACACAATTCTGTGTCACTGGCGCTGGTCAGCGCCTCCTCCAGTTCTGGATCAAGCGTCACTTTTTCTTCTGTGTAAGATTGTACTGGTTTCTGTTTGGGGATGAAAACTTTTCCTGTTCAAGGGAAGATAAAAACATACAATTTAGGACAGTGGTTCTTCACCTTTTTGAACAAATCGCCCCCTTGAGCCAATGAGGAAGTTGTCATTGCCCCCCTCCCCCAACATAACCTCTCAATCACAACATAGGAAATAATTCAATTTATGCAAACACTTTTTTTGTTTTCTTTAAAATTGTCATCAGGACATATCGATGCAAATAATTTATTTCCAGTCTTTTTCCCATATCTCAACTGTATGAAACATTTTGGTGCCACCCGTCACTTTATTCCCAAACTTCGTGATGCATGTATTTCATTATTATCTTATTTATTCAAGACACTTAAATGTACTGACCACTGAAAACAAAATTCAATTGCAAGAAAGTGAAATGCCCGAAAAGAAAAACAGTAACATTTAATGATGGAATTACAAGTGAAATTTAAGACGCAAAAAGAAATATAAAAAGGGTAGAGGCTGCTGCGCAACGCGCATGAAGATAAGCAATGCGTATTCACATATGTACGGCGTTCTGTACTGAAGCTGGTTGGAGGAACATTTGAAAACACAATTCAATCCACTAATAGCGAGCGATCTGATGTTTTTGTACGACAGACAGACAGCCATTCACTGTATGAAAAAGTCTCAAGTGTCCCCAAAACTTCTCACTCCATCGCCCCCATATCGCCCTCTTTTTGTTCCATTGCCCCCCTGAAAAACGAAATCGCCCCCTGGGGGGCAATATCGCCCAGGTTAAGAACCACTGATTTAGGATGGCCTCAGTGCTTTGTTCTGAACAGTTGGCTCTAAAGCAGAAGTAACCTGATACCTCTGTTTGGGAATGCCGTTCTTATCAGCACCAGGAAACGTTTCTTCAGCAACCAAATACTTTTGAGACCGGATTTTGGATGGAAATTCAAGTCCCAACTTAGCCATGAAAGCCGGCTGGGTGACTTTCGTCCAGTTTCTCTCTCTCTCTCAGCCCACCCCACCTAACAGGGTTGTCGTTATGGGGAAAATAGGAGGAGGTAGGGGGGATCTGTTTGCCGCCTCGCACTATTTGTAAAAATAATAAAGGCCAGATGCAAATAAATAAAAGAAGTAAGAGTTTTAAATTGTAGAGCGGCAGAAATAAATACGTTTAACGGTAAGAATAAGTCAACGGTGGAAACAACAACGCAGGAAAATAGTGCTTCTCCTGTTCACTGAGTGTGCTTGGTTAGAGGGACAATTTATTTTGAATTTCTGAACAGCCTCTTCCAACTCTATAATTGTACTATCTATAATCATACCACACTCTATCATTATACCACATACACACTTCCCAGAATAAAGTGTAAGTATATCTATGTGTGTTTAAATCTTACTTTACTTAGCTGTATGTATGTTTACACTTATAGGTTGCCTCTAAAAAGTGATTTTTGTCTATGTACTCAGGCATCTGTCTAGGCACCTACAGGAAGACAAAATGTAGATATTTTAAACGATACCAAACTAGCCCAAAATAGGAAACAGAATTGCACAAACAGCTGTGGCTCTCCTTATTTAACTCCCTTCAACATCTGGTTTCTGTTTCTTTTACATTTACTTGCACATCGTCACAAGCCTTGGCAGCTCTAACCTGGATTATTATTATTATTTTAAGCTGAAACGTCAGAACAAACATTTGCAGCATCTGGAATCTATTTCAGCAATAATGCAATTAATGGAAGACAGAAGGCGACTCCAAGGTTGGGGTTTTCTTGGGGGGGAGGGGCAAAAAGAGCCCTTGGGTGGCACACAAGTGTCACAAATAGCTGGTTGAATAAACCATGATTAGCTCGAATCACGAGGCTTGTGTCGTGTCAAGCCATCAACCGCCATTGATCAATGATCAGGGCAGGATTTTTTTTCCCCCAGCACTTTGAGCAAGTGAACAAAAAATTGTGCCAGTCTAGATTGCATTTGACCCATGCTGCTATATTTCATGGGGATCAATCTAGGATTGGTATCTTTAGGACAGGAGCCAAACAGAGTTTACACAAAATGTGTTGCAACTGTCTCTGTGGTTTTATTTAAAACAGGGGTCTTCCAACTTGACCCTTTTATGACTTGTGGACTTCAACTCCCAGAATTCCTCAGCCAGGCACTTTCATTTAAATAAATGAAAAACCCTCAAGGCTGAAACGTCCAGGCTGTTTATTTCACTCGCCTCCCATTCTTTGTCAGCTCCAAATGATGTGTAATCCACCTGTCACTTTGCTAACAATATAGGAGACTTGGCCAAGGCACAATTGAAGAAATTAAATTTTGAACAACAACCCCTCCCAAAAAAACCCCTAGTGTTTCACAATCTCAACTTAAGATGTGTGGACTTCAACTCCCAGAATTCCCCAGAATCCCCCATTAATTCTGGGAGTTAAAGTCCACATACCTTAAACTTGCTGAAACACTGTTCTAGAACAAAGCAAGCATTCTCCATCATTGGTTCATTAATCAGACTTTCCTGCTTTTCACCTTGGCTCCAAATACAAATACTTAGCAATAGCAAAGCTTTATGATTTTTTTTTAAAGTAAACAAAAGAGTAAAATATTTTGTCAGCTCTGTTTAGAAGTAACTTTTGCGGAGATTGGACGATTCGTTTCGAAGCGCAGCAGGCTAACCTCATCTGAACCAGATTCAAACCCAAGATGGGCTATTGTTCTCTTCCAGATGCTGTGACTCAACTCCTAAGAATGCAAGGGAGCTGCTCCCTCTGTAAAAAGAGCCCTACCTGAAACCTAAGTTTGTTTAATCGAAGCTAGCAAGATTCTTCTCGCTTCGGCCTGTCTTTAGAGAAAAATTCAGATGCCTTTCCAGGTAATGAGCAAACACTTTAAGGAAAAATCTGAAGCTTATTGTTTACTGACTCCAAAGATGTTTTTTTAAAAAAAAAAAAAATCCCTACCCTCTATGGCCTTTGGAAATAATGACTTAACAGTTGGCAGACGATCAAAAAGCTCGTGCAGATTCTTCCTTCTTGATGCATAAGCCACACAAGCATTGCCCAGAGAACACATCTGCACAGGCGTTCACAAAAGCCGTGGACGTTTTGATGATAATTTGGGAACACTGCTATTATTTACTGAGGAAGCTGCTCAGAGAAACGAGAACCAGTTTTGCTCGGCTGGGAAACCAGAAAAAAAAAATACATCGAGATTGCCTCAACGTTTGTGCACTGACGATTGCTTGAGTGCAACGAAGGGCATCAAAGCAACGAAGAGAGATATCCAAAGTATTAGCACCAGGGAAACTCCCCCCCCCCGTGCTAATTGGGGTTTGTCAAGCAAGTGTTCTGGTTTGTTCCATATATTATGCTGAACTATAAACCATGTCTAACCAAAGGAATAGAAGGGGGCCAGGTTGTTCACCAAAACACCAGAGGGAAGGACGAGAAACAATGGTTGGAAACTGACCAAAGAGAGAAGCAACCTGGAATTAAGGAGGAACTTCCTGACAGTGAGGACAATCAACCAGTGGAACCAGGGATAGGAACCTTGGCTCTTTTATGACTCGTGGACTTCAACTCCCAGAATGGCTGACTCAGGAATTCTGGGAGTTGAAGTCTACGAGTCATAAAAGAGCCAAGGTTGCCTACCCCTGGACTAGACATTCACCTGTCTGGGACAGTATAGGTTCTCCTGCTTGAGCAGGGGGCTGGACTAGAAGACCTCAAAGGTCCCTTCCAGCTCTATTCTATTCTATTCTATTCTATTCTATTCTATTCTATTCTATTCTATTCTATTCTATTCTACTCTACTCTACTCTACAAATTCTATTCTATTCTACTCTACTCTATTCTACTCTACTCTACTCTACTCTACTCTACTCTACTAATTCTATTCTATTCTATTCTATTCTATTCTATTCTATTCTATTCTATTCTATTCTATTCTATTCTATTCTATTCTATTCCATTCCATTCCATTCTACTCTACTCTACTCTACTAATTCTATTCTATTCTATTCTATTCTACTCTACTCTACTAATTCTATTCTATTCTATTCTATTCCATTCCATTCCATTCCATTCTACTCTACTCTACTCTACTCTACTAATTCTATTCTATTCTACTCTACTCTATTCTACTCTACTCTACTAATTCTATTCTATTCTATTCTATTCTATTCTATTCTATTCTATTCTATTCTATTCTATTCTATATTCATCAAAAACCTGAGTTGGCTGGTTTCATGCAACGCACAAAGCTCAAATCAAATCCCATTATCCACCCAAACAGAAATGAGATAAAATTCAGCAACGAGTCAATTCAGGGTTTAGCTAGACTCCCAGACTGAAGCCATTGTAATATTCTACCCTACTGTCCAATTGTAGAGATAAGGATCCAGTAGTTCTCTACTATTGGGACCACCACTTCCAGCCAATATAGCTACTGATCGAGAATGGGAGCTGCAGTTTGAATCTTCTGCAAGCCGGCTGGCTTTATTTTATTTTTATTTTATTAGCATGTGCATTAATTTTATTAGCATGCACATATAAAGCTTTATAACATGCCTAGAATATTTTCTCCTTGAGAAAGATCACTAGCCTTGACCTAAAGACATTAGTCGAATAGAATAGATCTAGAAGGGACCTTGGAGGTCTTCTAGTCCAGTCCCCTGCTCAAGCAGGAGAACCTATACCATCTCAGACAAGTGACTAGCCTCTTCTTAAAAACCTGCAGTGATGGGGCGCCCTCGATTTCTGGAGGCAACTTCTGTTCCACTGGTTAATTGTCCTCACTGTCAGGAAGTTTCTCCTTAATTCTAAGTTGCTTCTCTCTTCATCCAGTTAAAGGAGGTTCACAGAGACGAACCCTTATAGAAACACACATACAGAGGTCACAATTCAACACGATGCCATCCAGCAGTGCCATCCTGAGGTGTTGACCGTCCAAGGAATTATGGGAGTTGAAGAGGGAGTGAAGCTATTCTCCAAAGCGCCTGAAGGCAGGACAAGAAGCAACGGGTGGAAACTCATCAAGGAGAGAAGCAACCTAGAACTAAGGAGAAACTTCCTGACAGTTAGAACAATTAACCAGTGGAACAGCCTGCCTCCAGAAGCTGTGAATGCTCCAACACTGGAAGTTTTTTAAGAAAAGACTAGATAGCCATTTGTCTGAAATGGTGTAGGGTTTCCTGCCTGAGCAGGGGGTTGGACTAGATGACCTCCAAGGCCCCTTCCAACTTTATTGTTGTTGTTGTTGTTGTTATTATTAACTCCAAGGCTTCTGGTCACACCAGGGTAGAGAAAGGGGACCTCAAGATTAGTTCACAAGTGATTGGCTGGAGTTGAAGGTGTGTTTGGGAGACACGGCACCACTGAGCTAATGTCAACAGCAGCAACCACTGATCCACTTCCATTTTAGGCGAGTCTGGGCGCACCCTTCATGAGAAGCAGTTAAGCAAGGCACTTCCATCCATCATCAACTTTCCAAGCCAAAGTCAAATCTCCGTGTAGCGCCGGAAGCGATTAAGCGGCTTCAGACCAGTTGCATCACTGGGCGACCACACCTATCTCAAAATTGCACCATCAGAGATACAGAGGAAGCTGTTACACATGATACTATTCTAGTATTTGAGGGGCTGCCACAAGGCAGAGGGGGGTCAGGTTGTTCACCAAAACACCAGATGGAAGGATGAGAAACAATGGTTGGAAACTGATCAAGGAGAGAAGCAATCTCGAATTAAGAAGAAACTTCCTGACAGTGGGGACAATTAACCAGTGGAACAGCTGGCCTCCAGAAATCGTGGGCGCTCCATCACTGGAGGTTTTTAAGAAGAGACTGGACATTCACCTGTCTGAGATGGTGTAGGTTCTCCTGTTTGAGCAGGGGGCTGGACTAGAAGACCTCCAAGGTCCCTTCCAGCTTCTATTCTATTCTATTCTATTCTATTCTATTCTATTCTATTCTATTCTATTCTTCTATTCTATTCTCTTCTCTTATTCCATTCCATTCCACTTCTCTTATTCTATTCTATTCCATTCCATTCTCTATTCTATTCTATTCTATTCTATTCTATTCCATTCCATTCTCTGTTCTGTTCTGTTCTGTTCTGTTCTGTTCTGTTCCGTTCCGTTCCGTTCCCTATTCTATTCTATTCTATTCTATTCTATTCTATTCTATTCTATTCTATTCTATTCTATTCTATTCTATTCTATTCTATTCTATTCTATTCTATTCCATCCCATCCCATCCCATCCTTCTCATCAGACATGGTCCACCTAACCTAGTTTTACCAACACAGACCAGGGTTGTCTGACTGGGGTCATGGCCAGTTTTTTTTCCCAGACTACCCATTTGAGAACTCAGCGACCTCTTAGCCACAAAGCTGCCCTTGTCAGTTCAGTGAAAATTTACATCACAAATGCCATCTTGTGAAAGGAAACTCTGTTGCATCAGCTCTCTTTGCGGGCAACAGTGGCTCATTGTTCCTTTCCCCCAAACTGGAACAAGAGGAGAAAAGGGTCAAGCCTCTGCGTAGCAATGCTGGATTTAAAGAAAAAAAAAAAAAGGGTTGATCTTTTGGAAAGATGGGGGGATTTTTTTGGCCCATTTCTTTTTTTTTTTAAACTCCAGCGAAGCTCATTGTGCAGGCTTTCTATTACCACAACCCTCACTCAGAACCTCTGGGGCTTTCGCCCTACCCATGTTTCCCTGAAAATAAGACTGGGTCTTATATTTAGTTTTGTTCCAAAAGAGGAAGTAGGGTTTATTTTTCCGGTTAGGGCTTATATTTGGGGAAATATGGTACTAAATGTCCGACTGGCTCAGTGGTTCTCAACCTTTTTAATGCCGCGACCCCCAACCGGTCGTAAGTCAAGAACTACTCAACTGGTACAGCACCGTTTGCAGAATGGGACTTTTGGCGGGCTCAGCAGGGCAGAGACAGCCTGGACAATTCCTATTGGCTTTTGAAAGCCAATAAAATTAGACTCTATTCAAGAGAGCCTATTCTATTGGCTTTCAAAAGCCAATAGAATAAAAGGGAGTAGCACAGCTAAGGAAAAGGGGGAAAAAAATGGCGGACTGCGTTGTTTGGCGACCCCCGTGAAATGGTCGTTCGACCCCAAATGGGGTCCCGACCCGCAGGTTGAGAACCACTGGTCTGGCTGATGTTCTTAACTGGGGCTTATTTTGGGAGTGGGGCTTATATTACGAGCCCCCTGAAAAATCAGGCCAGAGCTTATTTTCCAGCTGGGTCTTATTTTGGGGGAAATACATTAATACAACTCCTTCCCCCTACTAGAACAGGGGTCCTCAAACTTGGCTACTTTAAGACTTGTGGACTTCAACTCCCAGAATTCCTTTGCTGGCTGGGGAATTCTGGGAGTCGAAGTCCACAAGTCTTGAAGTGGCCAAGTTTGAGGACCCCTGTACTAGAATGAAGGGATTGGACAGGAGGAGGGAACTTCCCTCCTCTCAGCCCAGCCTACTTCACAGGGCTGTTGTTCTGGGAATCAATTGGAGATGGAATTGTGCTGCCGAGAACTCAAGAGAGGGAAGGCAAGAGAAACATGAAATATGCCTTCACACTTTGGGCATATAAGTGGGTGGTAAAATAAAAGTTAAAATTAAAAATAAAATAATAAAATAATATAAAATAAAATAATAAAATAATATAAAATAAAATAATAAAATAAATATATATATTAAAAATAAAATAAATATATATATAAAAAATAAAATAAAATAAAAAAATAAAATAAAATAGGTTAAGTGTGATTCTGAGGGAACTCAGCCCCCCCCCGGGCTTGTTAATTATGGGGGGGGGGGGAACATCCAATTGATGGTGGCTTAATAAGCCCAAAATAGCTCAGTCTGATAAAGGCAGCCCTCAACTTAGAACCAAAATTACAATGGTGCCGAAAAAAGTTGACTCAGGATTGATCCTCACACTTATGACTGCGACAGCTTCTCCGCAGTCATGGGAATCAAAATTCGGCAACCAGCATGGATTTGCAATGGTTGCAGCATCTTGGGATCCCGCGATTGTCATTTGTGACCTTCCCAGTTGGCTTCTGACAAAGGCAACCAAGGAAGTTGATTCGCTTAATGACCACAGCAAAAAAAGGCCATTCAATCAGGCATGACTCATTTTACAACTGCCTCGTTTAGCAATGGAAGTTACGACCCCAACTGTGGTCGTAAAGTGAGGACCACCTGCATATGAATCCAGCCTGCGAGTGGGGACAGAGAGAAAGGAAGCGGAGCTTGGATGAGCCAAGTTGCTCAGTGGAAGCCACTACCTTTCTTTTCTCCCGTGTAAGGCACAACGTCCTCGACGTCTTTCTGCTCCAGGGCTTGTTTCTCCAAAAAGGAAAGCAGCTTCTCTCGGTCAAAAGGCCCACCGGGTTTGTTCAAAGTCTGGTCCTTCTGCCGGAATCCCGCAGGCAACAAGGCATTCTGTGAAATGAAAAGAAGAGTGAATCTTCTTGCACTACCGCAGGGAGTGAACCAAAGGGCCAGCCTTATTCTGAGGCTGCTCAGTATAAAGCCTCAAATGTATCATGAGAAGGAATTGGAATCAGAGGCTTTGGTGCTGAGGAAATATCTCCTGCCCATTCTCACTGGCAGGCCGACAGAGGCATTCATGAAATGTAATGTGTCACGGTAATGATTTAAAAGCTAACCAGCTGATGTAAGATGTAATGTTGGGAATGACTCAGCAGGGTCTGTGTCCCTTTAAGGGCCAGCTGGGTCTGTATCTCTTTAGGAGCCTTGTATAAAAGGGAAGGCTCTGCAAATGTGTTCTCTCTCTCTTCTGTTTCCTGCTGTAACTGCTGTGTGTTGGAGACTGCTATATTAACAGGTGTATGTATATTGTTCTTGGTGTATGACAGTGATGGCGAACCTTTTAGAGACCAAGTGCCCAAACTGCAACCCAAAACACACTTATGCATCGTCGGGTGCCGGGTGGGTGTGGCCCATTGGGTGGGTGTGGCCCATTGGGTGGGCGTGGCTGCGGTGGTAACAGCAGACTGGGTGGGACTAAAAAGTTCAATCAATCAATTCCAACTTGACAAGATCTTGTTTTTTCCCCACGAGAAGGTGAAATTGAGTGATTGAACCTTTTTTTTTGTACACTGCGGCAGAGGCCTAAAGCGAAAAGGTTTTATAAAACCCAGCTGAAGGCCTAGGACCAGGGCGATGGCACGCGTGCCCACAGAGAGGACTCTGAGTGCCGCCTCTGGCACCTGTGCCGTACATTCGCCACCACTGGTCTATGATATTGTAGCTAGTGTAAGATAAATCATCATTTAATATAGACCAGTTTAACTCCTAATAAGACTGTGCATGCTCTGACATAATGCCATTCCAGATGTTGCTCAACCACCGCTTCCAACAGACAACAGGGCCAATGGTGAGAAATGCTGGGCGTTGTAGTTCAACCACAGCCAGGAGACCATAAGTTACCGTGTGCTTTACAGAACTGCCAGGCGCGAACAACCAGACTCACATTCAAACTAGCTACTTCATTGTTCTCTGCCCATAATACAGGAATCTCTCCAGATTGGCAGCTTTCACTGGGAAAGAGCAGATAAGGCTGTAAGGCAGAGTTTCTCAACTTTGGCAACTTTAAGACGTGTGGACTTCAAGTCCCAGAATTCCCCCAGACAGCATGGGGAATCTGAGAGTTGAGGTCCACACATCTTCAATCTGCCAAGGTGGGAAACCCTGCTCTATGGGATTTAAGTCAGAGCTAACTCTCTTGTGCTTACATAGTGAGTCTAGGCTGATTCCTCACTTGAACCCTTCCTCCATCCAGAAACCTCTGGAAACACTATAGAAATGCTAACAAAGCACTGGAGCCACATGTACGCACCTCTGGATCAAGGTCATCCAGGACAGTTTCCAGTTGCTTCAGTTCTTCTTCCGTCAACTTGCCCAAAATTTCATCTTCATCAAGTTCCCTGTATTTGTCCAAGTCTTTCCGGAAAGGGAGTGCCATCACTCTGGCAGACCAACGTTCAGTAGCTTGACCAACTAATAGCAAGACCAAGGTCTTAGCTTTGAGTTTTTAACTGGAAGGACAGAAAGGGGAAAAATAAATGTACTCATAGTCTTGAACCTTTTGCAAAGTTCCACAAACTGGGTGTAATTCATATGAGCAACTCGTCTGAAGGCGCAGGAGAAGTTATCTACAACTGCTTAACGCTATGCTGATGGTTAAGTATGCCTCCCAAAACTTAAGACGATGCACAACAATTATCGGATGGTGGGCATGTATTTATCCCAAGCATTATTAACATGCATCTAGAACAGCCTTGATAAACTTTAAGGTGTGGGACTTCAACTCCCAGAATTCCCCCTGTCAGCCACAGAGAAGATGTTGGCCTTCTAGTTCAGCCACCCCAGAATGTTCTCTTGCTAAAAAGCACACGTTTCCTATCAACCTTATCCAACCTGGCTCTCTCTCAATATTCATTGCACTTCCTGTTATGTTAGTCAGGGATTCTGCACAATATCACACAGAGAAACGGATGTTGTATAGGAGAGCCAGCCAAGTCTTTGGCTCCACAAGTCCAGTCAACATCATAATCAACTCTGGTGCTCTTCAGGGCAACACAAAACACTTCACGTTCTGTGGGGATCTTGGTGCAGTCTGAACTTGGTTGTTTTCTTGCAGATGTTTCATTACCCAACTACATAATGTGATCAGTGCTAGAAGGGAGTGGGGGGGTTTGCTCTTATTTTTATATACAACTGGTTTGCCTAGTCACCCTTGTTGGAAGTGTTCTTGGTGGTTCCTTGAGTAGGCTGTTGCTTCACGCAGGGGTCTCCAACCCTGGCGACTTTAAGACTTGTGGACGCCAACTCCCAGAATTCTTCAGCCAGCCTTGCTGGCTGAGGAATTCTGGGAGTTGAAGTCCACAAGTCTTAAAGTTGCCAGGGTTGGAGACCCCGGACTTAATGCTAGCTTGTTCATCTCTGTTGGTACCAAAACACCTCCGCCCCAGCAAGCAACACACACATATGAGGAGAGATTAATAGGAAGACTAACACTAGACCAACAACACCCCAATCAAGGAACGACCAATGCAATATAATGGCTTAAAAAATGGAAGCACCCCCATCTTGCACATAGTGAGCCCGCCAGACTTCCTGCCCTTGCCCACAAGTGTTTTTCTCCTCTTCCTGAACCTACTGTTCAGCTCAAGCCAGTATCTCAAAAGAAAACAGCTTCCTGTGGTTAACAGGCATGGCACCACCATTAGCTGTCAAGCTGTGCACTGCCTGTGCCAAGCCCCCATTGTGTGTGTTTGTGTGTTCCCCTCCCCTGGAGCACCAGGGCCTATGTTTTAGAATCACAGAAGATCACAGTACTGGTGGGCGGGCGTTCCCCACGGAAGAGACCTTTCAACAATGGGTTGGACACACACAAGAACAATTCTGTTCTCTTCGCTGATCGAGGGTTGCTAGCGGGAGTTTTGTCTTAAGCCAGTTTAAAGAAAATGCTCAGTTATATCTGGAACTGGCTCAGCGTGCAAAGTTGTTCCTCGTGGGCAAATTTGGCACCTCTGATTGGTTCCACCGAATGAGGCTTTGGAAGTTCTCCAGAAGAAGACGTGACGGCTACTGCCCTACCACAAAGCCCAGCCATGTACTCCCTCTGCTCCCCCCCCCCCGTGTTCCTCCCTCTTTGGCGTGTGGGTGTTACTGGCCCAACACACAGAGAAATGGGTGGCTGGCTGTTTTTGTGGAGTTCCACACCATGCTGAGCCGCAACCACCTACAAACGAGTCAGAGCATGCTTTGCTTTGCAAATCGTCCTGGATAAAATCATTTGGAAATAATTCAGTTGCTAAGCCAGACTCCGCAAGCCTTTCTTCTAGATAAATAGGCATCAATCCAGCCTGACTACAACCTTAAGACTCTCCTGTTTCTCCACACTGGGTTGATAATACTCACCAGTGTGTTGGGAGTACTACAGGCTGACTTTTAAGCCAAATTAGCCTGGCCTAATTATAAATAGAGCAGACAGCACATCTGGTTGATCTCACCGAAGGATAAGCAGAATCAGATTGATTAGCATATAGTGTTTCTCAACCTTGCTAATTTTAAGACCTGTTGCACTTCAACTCCCAACATTCCCCAGTGCTTGGACGACATTAGAAAATGCTAGGATTGGGAAATTAAAACCAAAAACCCAAGGCATCCTCCAAGGTGGCAGTGGTTTAAAAAAAAAAAAAAATCCACGTTTTGCCAAGTAAACAAGGTAGTCTCGCTGCTGGAAATCCAGATGCATGAAGACGGCCCACGGAAAAAGTAGGAAGAGATTTCTGGAGGTGTGCGGCTCGCTTTTCTGTCTACAAGTATTATGGACGGCCGACAGCTGCAGTGGGTCCTCCTGGGAAAAGGAGAGCACGCAAGGCCAAGAGGGATGGGATGGAGGGAGGGAAACCAGCCTTGTGCTGGGATACATTCGGCCATGTGGGACCTCGGCAAGTTAGCAGGCGGCTGGTTGAAGAGACACGGTTGCCATCTCCAGGGCATGGCGCGCGTGCCCACAGACAGGCCTCTGAGTGCCACCTCTGGCACGTGTGCCATAGGTTCGCCACCACTGCCCTAGGCAAATTCCTGGCATAAAAATCAATGTTTTAATCCCTCATCTGCACAGTGGACGTTATCTGTCAGGTGATGGATGAAGGCAGCAACCCCCCAACCTTCCTGATTTAAAATCTAAACAAACAGGTTGACAAAATGCCCATATCCAGGACCCTTTGACCTGGCGTGTTCTCAAGTCCTGGAGCAGGTTATCGAGAGAGGCACGTTGCAATCTTGGAGTGTTGTTTTTTTCCCCCATTCCGAATACCTTTAAAGAGGTATTGAATGTCCCAGTCAGGTCCCACTACTCCTTTTTTGAAATAGAAAATAACCTCACAGGAAAATAAATGGGGGGGGGGGCGGCTAATTCGGGCCAGCGTGCCCCAAAATGTACACTTTATCATTATTTCTAGCGGCACATCTTCTGCTAACCCATCTCCAGATGAACCTTCACTAAAGAAAGCTTTCAGTGTTTATCAGTTCTCCACCATCAATCAGAGACTTGAAACGGGGCCAGTAGTTCAGGAAGACTAATCTTAAGAGGTTTTCATTTCTCCCTCTAGACTCTTTCAAGGGTAGAAAAGTTAACTCTTCACTTCTGCGCTGTGCATGGCCCAGCAAAGTTCTCTGTGTGATTATTACCATTAAATCCATTAACGTGGAAACGCAACATACTGTAGCGTGGAGGGTTGGGGTTCCTTTTTAACATGCTCCCTTGCTTGCTTCCCTAGCCAGTTTGAAACCTGCAGGCCGCCCTGCAAACCTGTTCAACAGGTATGTAAATTGTCACTTCAGGTTTGACTTTCTACTTTATGCTTAAAGGAGCCCTGTTGCAATGAACAAAGGATTTGTGATATTGTCTGTTTGCTTTAAACAGGTTTTATCTGTGATCCTGCTATGTTTCTTCTTTCAACGATTGATGTAGCACTGTTTGACAGCCAGAGAAAACTTCCCAAGGGGAGAAGATTCCTGGTTATTCTTGGCTTTTTAGCTGAAGTCAACTAACAAGCCAGAATGCTGCATCATCTGAATGTTATTTTGGAAGAAAAGTGTTTTGAATATACAGACTACAGTAGTGGCCAAAATTGGGGAAACCTTTTGGGAAAAGTGTACAGTAGAAATGCCACCTTTGGTTAGGTTTCCACCCATTTTTCTTCTAATTTCTTTATAACTGTAACCTTGTTTGCTTAATAATGCTATTTTACATCGCTTTCTGGGCGACTGGTCGACTCTTTGCACCATTACTTTAATTTTATTATGTTTTACAAGCTCACTAAGTGAAAGAACACAAAAAAACCCAGCCAACTTGAAAGCGATCACATAACACACTGACAAATGTTCTCCTCTCAGCTTCAATACAGGACATCCACTGAGTTAGTAGTAGTAAAGTAAAGTTGGAAGGGACCTTGGAGGTCATCTAGTCCAACCCCCTGCTCGGGCAGGAAACCCTACACCATTTCGGACAAATGGCTGTCCAGTCTCTTCTTAAAAACTTCCAGTGTTGGAGCATTTACTGCTTCTGGAGGCAAGCTGTTCCACTGATTAATTGTTCTCACTGTCAGGAAGTTTCTCCTTAGTTCTAGGTTGCTTCTCTCCTTGATGAGTTTCCACCCGTTGCTTCTTGTCCTGCCTTCAGGTGCTTTGGAAAATAGCTTAATTCCCTCTTCTTTATGGCAGCCCCTGAGATATTGGAATACTGCTATCATGTCCCCCCTTGTCCTTCTCTTCGTTAAACTAGACATACCCAATTCTAGCAACCGTTCCTTATATGTTTTAGCCTCCAGTCCCCTAATCATCTTTGTTGCTCTTCTCTGTACTCTTTCTAGAGTCTCAACATCTTTTTTACATCGTGGTGACCAAAACTGGATGCAGTATTCCAAGTGTGGCCTTACCAAGGCATTGAAGAGTGGTATTAATACTTCACGTGATCTTGATTCTATCCCTCTGTTAATGCAGCCTAGCACTGTGTTGGCCTTTTTGGCAGCTGCAGCACACTGCTGGCTCATATTTAGGTGATTGTCTACTAGGACTCCGAGGTCCCTCTCACAGTTACTACTATTGAGCATGGTGCCACCTATGCTGTACTTGTGCATTTGGTTTTTCTTGCCTAAATGTAGAACCTTGCTTTTTTCACCATTGAATTTCATTTTGTTAGTTAGTGCCCAGTGTTCAAGTCTGTCCAGATCCTTCTGTATCTGAAGCCTGTCTTCTGGAGTGTTGGCTATTCCTGCCAGCTTGGTGTCATCTGCAAATTTGATGAGTTCCCCATCTATCCCTTCATCCAAATCGTTGATGAAGATGTTGAAGAGTACTGGGCCCAGAACAGAGCCCTGGGGCACCCCACTACACACTTCCCTCCATATAGATGCAGTTCCATTGAGGACCACTCGCTGAGTACGGCCGGTCAGCCAGCTACGGATCCATCTGGTGGTGGTTCTGTCTACCCCACATTTTTCTATCTTGTCAAGTAGTAGGTTGTGATCTACTTTATCAAATGCCTTACTGAAGTCC